CCAAGTTTTTTTTTTTTTTAATGTTTTAATCTTTATTTATTTTTGAGAGGGAGAGAGAGAGACAGCACAGGCAGAGGAGGAACAGAGAGAGGGAGACACAGAATCCGAAGCAGGCTCCAAGCTCTGAGCTGTCAGCAGAGAGCCCGACGCAGGGCTCGAACTCACAAACTGTGAGATCATGACCTGAGCTGCAGTCAGACGCTTAACTAACTGAGCGACCCAGGTGCCCCTGATTTCATTTTTAGCTCTGGGTTTAGACTACCCTAGATCAGCAAGGGGCAGCCTTTTTCACGTCAGTGCCATTAACACCCGCAATGCCCCCCCCCCCCCAAGGACTGCATAATTGATGATGGGTCACCTCCGGTTTATAAAAAGAGAAACTCAAGAAAAGAGTAAGTGCGTGCTTTGGCCAAGCTTCCACGCATAGCGTGTGTGTGTGTGTATGTGTGTGTGCGCACGCTGCTGTATAGGACTGTCAATCCGTAATTATCTGCGTGCCCGCCGTCTCCTCCGTGAGTGACCCAGGGCAAAGGCGTGACCTCCTCGCTGGATGGCCTTTTGCCCCTCTGCGCTCTCCCATCCAGGGCCATGCTGTCCACTGCCATGTTCAGTAAGATCTGTTCAAATACTGCCCTTTGAGGAGACGAGGAAGGATACGAGACCCTAGTCTTGCCCTCATGGAGCTTTGAGTCCGTCTAGGAAGCCGGGATAAGACGGGTGGGGAAAGTGGGTGCTACCAGCCCAGCTACCCTCAAGTGCCGCTTTGGTGTTATCTCCGGTGCTTGCAACGGGCCCTGGTATAGAGAAGGTGCTCGACAAAGAGGTAAAAATAGGTGAAAATTGCCATGGTTTTCAAACTTTTTATTTTAAAGAAAGAGAAGCCTTTCTTCAATGGAACGGTACTGCAAAGCTCACAACAGAGCAGACAGACAGACGGACGGGTGCGGTGCTGCCCCGGCGGAGGGAGCGAGGGTAGAGCCCTGGCAGCTGTCTCCTCTGGGCCTCAGAGAGGTGCCTGGGTGCCCAGTTGGAAAACTAGTCTGTTGGACAGGATTAACCCTTGTTAGCCACACGGCAGCGGGGAGGCTAGCAAAATAAATGGAGGCTTTGAAGAACCGGGACTCCAAAGGTATTTGCATCTGAAAAAGGGCTGTCAGTCTCTCCTCTCCCCTCCTAGGAGCTCCAAGGAGTAAAAGCAGAGGAGAGGAAGTTTTGATTTGAGTAGACCTCTGAGTTGGTCCATAAAGGTATATCGAGGTATATATTTGTTTATTTTTTAAGTTTATTTAGTGTGTGTGTGTGTGTGTGTGTGTTAGAGACAGAGACAGAGAGAGAGAGAGAGAGCATAAGTGGAGGAGGGGCAGAGAGAGAGAGGGAGAGAGAGAATCCCAAGCAGGCTCCACACTGTCAGTGCAGAGCCCGATGCGGGGTTCAAACTCACGAACCGTGAGATCATGACCCGAGCCAAAATCAAGAGCAGGATGCTTAACCCACTGAGCCACCCAGGTGCCCCATATTTGTTTACTTTAAATAAAGAAGGAAAGAATGCCACTGCGGTAATTCCAGAATTCCATAGAAGCCCATTTCAAAACATTGTCCTACAGGTGTCCTGATTTGCAAATACAATGGAAAACTCTCATGGAGTCTGTCTGGTCAGGGAGTAGATGGTGCTGCCTTCCCCTCCCCACCCCCCACCCCGTCAAGTTTATGATCAGCTTTGGGCACACACTGATGCCAGGGGGAGTACCTGGCGAGAGCACCTCTCCTCCCTGCCTGCAGGACTGAAACCTACTGCCTGACTTGGCCTTCTCCTTGTCCCTCCAACCCCGATGGGCAAGGGAGGGAAACCAACCCGGAAGATACTTACTTGTCAAGGTGGTCCAGGGAGCAGGGCGCATCTCAGATCTGCATCAAGAAGACAGTGGACTTTGGGGCGCCTAGGTGGCTCAGTCGGCTAAGCGTCTGACTTCGGCTCAGGTCATGATCACACGGTTCGTGGGTTCGAGCCCTGCATCTGGCTCTGTGTTGACAACTAGCTCAGAGCCTGGAGCCTGCTTCTGATTCTGTGTCTCCCTCTCTCTCTACCCTCCCCTGCTCATGCTGCCTCTCTTTCTCTCTCTCTCAGAAATAAATAAAACACTAAAAAAAAAAAAAAAGAAGAAGAAGATAGTGGACTTAAAACTTGTCAGGGGCACCTGGATGGCTCAGTTGGTGGAGCCTCGGACTCTTGATTTTGGCTCAGGTCATGATCCCAAGGTCATGGGATCGAGCCCCGCATTGGGCTCCACGCTCATCTTGGAGCCTGTTTATGATTCTCTCTCTCTCTCCCTCTGCCCCTCTCCCACGGTCACATTCTCTCTCTCTCTCTAAAACAAACAAACAAAAAAAACTTGTCAAAGAGATACAGATCTTGAATTAAGAAGTTTTCATCATTGTTCATCTCATGGCCCTTTCATAGAAATCTCATTACCTGCCCCTCAGACCGCCCCTCCCCACAGGTATCAGAAGGGGCAGAGGGGTCATTACTGCTGGGGGGCCCTGCTATAGACTGAAAGTGTTGGTCCCTTTCCCATTCATATGGTGAAACCTAGTCCCCAGCGTGAGGGTATCTGGAAGTGGGGCCCTGGAATTAGTGCCCTTATAAAAGATCCTGGAGAGATTACTCACTTTCCACCATTTCCGGACTCAGCCAGCGTATGGCTGTCTATGAATCAGGAACCGAGAGCCCTCATGGAATCTGCCAGAGCCTTGATCTTGATCTTGTTCAGCCTCCAGAAGTGTGACAAATAAATTTCTGTTTCTTATAAGTCACCCAGTCTGTAGTGTTTTGTTACGGCAACCTGAATGGACCAAGAGCCCATTCGACAGCAGGGAAATGGAAGGGTGAAAAGAGCTTCCCTTAGTCCTTCCAGGGAGCCCCGGCTTGTCCTCCACTGCCTGGGAGGGCCACTCCCCCTTTCCTGGCCAGTCCCCTGACTTCTCTATCTTCAAAATCTAGGTCAGGCCTGACCCTGACGAATAGGACAGTGGTCTGGTCAGTCCTGCCTTTTCACTACTACTGACTTCCCCCCCTTGTCCAAGCCACCCCCTCCCCAGCATCTGGACTAACCTTGAACTTAAGTAGCTGAGTTAGTCTTAGGTTCGAAGCCACTGAGGGCAAGGCCTCGAGGGAACCTCGGAGATCAGGAGAAACTAAGGCCTCCGCGGAGGACTTGCCTAAGGTCTCCGTTTTCCTACGAGCGCCTTATGCCTTCTACATCCTGAGTTCCTCGGTTTCTTTTCTTGGTCTCTTTCTCCTCTGTCCCAGTGTTCCTTCTCCCCTCTGACCCTCTCCCCAGTCCTGTCTCCAGAGGGAGGCTCTAGAAATAGCTGTCCAACAAGGGACCGGTTCTTCGGGACCTTAGTGTTGACTCAAGGGGGAGATGAACGATCTAAATAAGACACCGAGCCCTGACGGAGCCTGTGGTCCCGGACCAGCGCTGAAACACGACTTGATCGCGACCAAGTTCATCCCTGGCATTTGTTCAGAACCCAGGACGAGGGCTCCCAGGGTTTAGGTCATTTGCCCAAGGTCACTCAACTAAGACACTGGCCACAGCAGGAGGCACGTGCAGGTGTTCAGGCCCTGGGGCGGCGCTCGGCCCCGTGCAGGGTCCCTGTGCAGCCCCCGGGTACTGCCCGAGCCCACAGGCCCTGGGGGTTAAGTGGGCCAGAGGCGAGCCCAGCCCCCCGCGCCTCCCTGCGCGCTGCAGCGAGACGGAGGGGAGTGCGCTATTCCCTTAGGGCTCCGAGTCGCGTTTAGTTGTGCGTGGGGTTCCCGTCCGAAGGGTGAGGGTGGAAGCCTGAGCGGTTCGCACCCGCCTTCGGGAGGTAAGCGCGCCCTCCCCCTCCCCCGGGGCCGCCGAGCCACCAGGAGCGCAGCCCCGCGGCCTGCGCGCAGCCCTACCGTCCCGCTCAGCGAGCCCCGAGGCAGCTCGGGCGGCAGCTGGGCTCGCGGACTTTCCCTGGGGGAGCGCTCCCGGTTCCCCGCCCGCCGGCCGTTCTCCCGCGGCCCCTGGGTACCCACCGACGCCGGCGGGCCGAGCACTAGTGGCCGCGCGCGGCTCGCGGGCGGGACCCCCCCCCCCGCCGGGGCCCGGGGCGTCTCCGGCTCGCGGCGCCCGCCGCGGGTTCCGGCGCTGGGAGCAGGGAGAGGCGAGGAGCGGGGCACGCAGGGCGCCTCCCTCGGGCCTCGGCCGGCGAGCGCATCTGCGGGGCGGCGCGTCCCTCAGCGCTCAGCGAGCGCCACCCAACTTCTGCGCCCGCCGGCTCCGCGGCTCCGCGTGGCTCCCAGCACAGGGGACCGAGCGGCCTCGGCTGTCCACACTCGCTACTTTTGGTGGGTGGGGGGCTCCCCGAGAAGGCAGATGGGGACCCCGAATGCGAGCAGTCGGGACGGGGCTCCCAGGGCTCGCGAACCGCGGCCGGGACTGAGGTGGGGGGGGGGGAACCCTCCCGAGGGGACCCTCCCAACACTCTTCCCTCCGCAGACCTCGGCCGTAGGAGCGCGCCCCTTTAGCGTCTCCACAGACCTGGGGGAGCGCGCACCTCGGGGGATTTCTGCTTCTCCTCGGAAGGGTTGGGGGAGGGGCCCGCTAGCGAGCGGCCCGGCTGAGGGGACCTGTTTGCCGGCGGGTTTGGAGGTGGGACGGCGTTAGGGGTTTGGAGACGGAGGCGCCCGAGACACGACTTTGGGTTTTTCTCCCTCCCTCTCTTCCTAAAAGGAACCACACTGTGAGGCAGAAATAAGGCGGAGTGTAAACACAAACAACCTCAAAAACAAGCCAAGAAAAGCGAAGCCAAAAGAAGCAAGCGCAACACTGTTACAAAACTGTCTGGTTTTGTAACAATTTCCCCGCCGCCGGCCAATGAGCGGCGTGGCGGCGCGTCACGTGGTGCTGTTTTATATAACACTTTGCTGAGACAAGACAGTTATTAGGCGGCGCGCGGCGCCCGGCCGGGAGCCCGTGGAGGCGCGGCAGCGGCCGGCGCCCGGCAGCGTGCGGCTGAGGCGACTCCGCTCGGCGGAGGCAGCTCCGATTCCCAGCAGCCCTCGCTCTCCGGTCCCCGGCCCGGGCCCCGGCCCCTAGACGCCTCGGCCCCTCTCGCCTGCCTTTCCCTATGGATTCGCTTCAGACTGGGCAGATGCTGAGCTTGGCCGCCGAGCTCGGTGGCGACAACTTAGAACTGGCGGAGCCGGCGGCATCGGCGGCCCGCGGAGACGCGGAGCCCCGCTCGGAGGCGGCCACGGAAGGCCCCGCACCTTTAGCCGCTCCGGAGCCCGGGCCGGGGCCCGAGCCGGAGCCGGGGCCGCCTCCGAAGACCTCGACGCCGGAGTGCAAAGTCCTGCTCAAGAAGGCTGACGCCCTGGCGTCTAGGGGGCGCCTCCGGGAAGCCCTCGAGGTGTACCGCCAGCTCTCTGAACGGCAGCAGCTGGTGGCCGAGCAGCTGGAGCAGCTGGTGCGCTGCCTGGCGGAGAAAGTCCCGCAAGGCGCGGCTCCGGCGCCGGCGTCCCCGGACGGGAGCGGTGCGGCGAGCCGGGCGGCGGCGGCCGAAGAAGCAGGGGCGCCCGCGGCCGCCGAGGCTACCGAGGTGTGGGACGGCTTCAAGTGCCGGAAGTGCCTCGGCTTTCTGTCAGACCCCGTGTCCTTGTCGTGCGGCCACACCTTTTGTAAACTGTGCCTGGAACGCGGGCGGGCGGCCGACCGGCGCTGTGCGCTGTGCGGGGCCAAGCTCCCGGGCTCGATGGTGGCCGGCGGCAAGGCGCGCCCGGCCCCCCCGGGGGATGGGCAGCAGGCGGCGGCGGAGACCGCGACGACCGCGACGACCACGCCGCCGCCGCCGCCGCCACCGCCGCCGCCGCCGCCGCCGCCGCTGCGGGTCAACGTGGTGCTCAGCGGCCTCCTGGGCAAGTTGTTCCCAGGCCCAGCGCGGGCGTCGCAGCTCCGGCACGAGGGCAACCAGCTGTACCGCGAGCACCAGGTGGAGGCGGCGCTGCTCAAGTATAACGAGGCGGTTCGGCTAGGTGAGCCCACCGCGGGGCCGGGCCGGGGGACGGAGGGCCGGGGCCGAGGGGGGACGCGGGGGGGGCCGCGATGGGGACCGTGGCCAGGCCGGGCCTGGCGGCCGGGGGCGGGGCGGAGGCCGGGGCCGAGGGGAGCGTGGGGGGCGGGCCGCGAAAGGGACCCAGGCCGGGCGCGGAGGCGGGGCGGGGCTGGTGGGGGGGTGGGCAGAGGACCTGGGCCGAAGCGGGGAGCGTGGGAGGCGGGCCGCGATAGGGACCCAGGCCGGGCGGACGGCCGGGAGGCGGGGCGGGGGTGGGGGGCAGAGGACCGGGGCGGAGGGGGGTCCCGGGGAGAGCCGTGATAGGGACCGGGGCCAGAGTAGGGGAAGGGGCGTCTGGAGTCCCGTCTCCGACTTTGCCTCCGTCGCTACCCATGCATGTCTCTTCTCTGTGTCCCCGCCCGTGTCTCTGTCGCTCTTTGTCTTTCTCCGTGTTTCCCCGTAGCTTTTATTTCTGCGTCTGTCAGCCGCCTTCGCCTGGCTGTCTCCGTTTCTGGGTCTCCCTCGCTGGCCCCCTCGCGGTCGGGGCCCTCTGCCGCCCGGCCCCGCGACCCCGCAGCTCGCCGGGGTCCCTCGGACACCTGCCCGCCCCTCCCCAGCCGGCGGAGGAACTTAGCAGCCTCCCCGCGCTCGCGCCAGGGCCGCCGGGCTCCCGCCCGCCCGCGACGTTCGCTCGGCGCCCGCGGTCGCCACTCCTGCCCGGCTCGGGGCGGCCGGCGCGGCGGGAGTTGGCCCTTCCGGGGCCGCGGCTCCCGGTGGGGTGGGTCCGGCGTGGAATTAGGTCAGGAGAGCACTGGTTGCATAAGGGCCGCGAGCGGCCCGGGCCGGGCGGCCCCTCCTCCGCGCGGGCGGGCGGGATTGTGTAACGGCTGAGGTAACCGAAGTGGGCCACGCTCGCCTCGGAAACCATCCCGCGAGCGTGTGCGGTGGGGGTGGGGGGGGAGCTCGCGCCCCGCTGCCCTGTGACTCATTGTCACCGCTTCCTATCACACGCTCCTCGGCCGAAATAGATGCGCACCTCCCCCCTCCCCGCAGCCCGCGCGACCTCGCCGCGAACCCCCATCCCGTCGGCCCCGCGGAAGACCGGGCCGGGCAACTGCGCGGGGATCCCCGGGGCTGCGAGCCCGCCGCGGAGGGGGCACGCCTCGGACCCCCTGCCGCGCGGCCCGCGGAGCCGCAGGTGGGCTTGGCGGCTTCAAGGGCAACGTGGGAAGCCCCGCGGCTGGGCGCCGGAGCTCCCACGCGAAGCGGCCCACCCGCCCCACTCCCCTCCGTGTCCGGACCCAGGAAGTGGCCGCAGAGCGGCGGGCCGGCTAGTGCCCAGCTCGGGCCAGCGGCCAGGAGCTCGCCCGGCGGGGCGCAGCGTGCCGGGGAGGAGGTGGCAGGACTCTAGGATCTGGGGCTCCCCGAGCCCGATTCCCGACGGGCGGAGGAGAGAGGTGGGCTCCAGTCTCCACGTGTTGAATCTCCACCCGAAATTGCAACAGGCAGTAGAGGAGGAGGAAAGAGAGTTGGCTGGGCAAGGCTGGCACCTGAGGGAGAGGGTGGGTACCCCCCGCCCCATGCACATCCTGTGGCCAGGGAAGGCACTCTTTGAGCCTCCTCTGGGCTGGCGAGTACTGCAGAAGGAAAGAGAACGCGTAGACCAAACTCTGTAACGTCTGGAGAGCAAGCACACCGGGTCCTAAAGCCAGCTTTCTGCACGGGGTTAACAGAGCCTGTTCCAGCAGCTGGAGCTGGAGCTCAGTCCAAGCAGGAGGTCCTTTAAGCCCACATCTCTGAGGGAGGTCCCATTCCTTTTATTTTAACTTTTGTTTACTTACTTATTTTGAGAGAGAGCCAGAGAGAGAGAATCCTAAAGCAGGCCCTGTGCAGAACCCAGACTCAGGCATCGATCCCATGAACCCTGAGATCCTGACCGCAGGGGAAATCAAGAGTCGGATCCCGAACCCACTGCGCCCCTCACATTTTTATCTAAATTCCAGTTAGTTGGGGCTCCTGGGTGGGTCAGTCGGTTGAGCATCTGACTCTTGATTTCTCCTCAGGTCCGGATCTCACAGTTTCATGGGTTCAGGCCCCACGACCGGCTCTGCGCACCCACCACTGGGAGCCTGCTTGGAATTCTCCCTCTCCTCTCTCTGCCCCTTCTCCGCCTGCACTCTGTTTCTCTCAAAGTAAATAAACTTAAAAAACCTAAATTCCAGTTCGTTACAGCCCATACAGTGCAGTATTGGTTTCAGGAGCAGAATTCAGTGGGTCATCACTCACATAGCACAACTTTCCCCTTTCAAGAGGTAAGGGGCCTCCCCAGGAGCAAGCATCTATGTGCTAAGAGCTGGCCAGTGTCTCCTTATTTTTCTAAGTACTACACACCCTTCAGAAAAAGAAAGCACCTCCCCCACCCCAGCTTCAAAGCTTCGGAGTCTGACCAACTAGCTGTAGGACTTCAAGCAGATGCCTTCCCCTCCCTGGGCTTGATTTTCCTTGTCTGAAGAATGGGTTGGTTGAGCCAGGTGATCTCTAAAGGCCTGCCCAGCCCTGGCGTCAGTGATCCAAAGTGTTAGTGAGAGAGGGACACCTGGGTGGCTCAGTCAGTCAAGCGTCCTTCTGCCTCTTGATGTTGGCTCTGGTCGTATCTCATGGTTCGTGAGATGGAGCCCCGTGTTGCGCTCTGCTCTGACAGCACAGAGCCTGCTTGGGATTTTCTCTCTCCCCTCCTCTCTCTGCCCTTCCCCCACTCACACTCTCTCAGAATAAATAAATAAATGAACTTAAAAAAACAATTCCCAGACAATTGGCCATCTGCGAAGAACCATGCTCATACAGGACTTATTATGTGTTTATTCTGGGACCATCAATGAGAGCCTTTTTCCCCCCCTCATTTTGGCAGCTCCGAATGACCACTTGCTTTATAGCAACCGGTCTCAAATTTATTTCACCTTGGAGGCCCACGAGGACGCATTGCATGATGCAGAAATCGCATGTAAGCTCCGCCCAATGGGCTTTAAGGTGAGTGGGATGGGAGGGCCGGGAACAGCTGGTGCTATAGACCGGGATTGGCGGGAAGGGCTGCCCCGCTGGGAGCCTGGGGCACTAGAGCCCAAGTAGAACAGGCAAAAGGCTTGGCAAAGGAGCTGGGGGTCCCTCGGCAAAGGGTGACTCGGGAGTGTGCAACGGAACTGGATTCCTCCTCAGTTTACTTGCGCACCTGAAAACCTGCCAAGCAGCCCGGGCTTTGTTCAGAACTTGTCCAGAACTCTTCAGAACATGGACTTAGCTGCCGGACCACCTGAGTTTCTGTCCCAGTTCTGCTGCTTTTACCAGCTGTGTGGCCTGGGCACGTTACTTAACCTCTCTGTGCCTTATCTCCTCGTCTGTGAAACAGGGGGATAGTCAAAGTACCTGCTTAAAAGGGTTCATCACGAGGATTACGTGAGCTTATACACATACGATGCTTAGAACGATGCACGGTTCATAGCATTATATGGTCCGTCACCATTTTCTAGGGGCAGTAGACAGAGGAGCATGGAGAAGTATTGCTGGCTGGTCGTGTCACGTCCAGCCCTTAATACAATCTGCCTGCTGGTATAGGTTGCACTGGGCAGGTGGGGAGACAGACGGGCTGGGCATCTCTCAAGACGCTAGGATGCAAAGTATCACTTTCTGCATCTTGGGCCTCAGGACCAGTCCTTAGCCACGTGTCAGTATTGTGTTTAGGAAATTAGGTTTGGGCCTGGGCTCTCCTACTTGCCAGCTAAGTGGCCATGGGGAAGTCGCTTCACCCTCTGGACGCCAAGTGTCCTTGGTTGCAAAGCGCATCTGTTACCACCCAACCCGATCGCCTCTTTGGGATGGGGTCAAGGTCACAGGGGAGCACGGCCAAGAGGCCTTTCTGGGAGCTCTGCCCCCTGTTGGGCCTTGGTGCTATGCTCTCTCCACAGAACCCCCAGGATGCCTTGTCGGGACATCCAACTCAGCTGGGTCCTGATCTGTGAGCCCTTATCTGAATCCTGTGGGGCCAGGAGTGTTCAGAGTCCAGAATATCCCTGATTTCAGTTTTAGTACGTGTGCTGCCGAAGCAAGCACCAGAATGTTCCCAATTTCAGAAAGACCATATACTACGTGGCACCCTCAGCGAGCTCTGGACGGTGCTCTGCGATCATACACGCGAGCATTTCCACAGTCCGTGACGTGGGAATTCACTTAAGTGACTATAACATACTCTGTATCGTTGTAGCCTAGGTTTTGCCACCTAATGACTTTTGATGTCGAGCTTCTGAAAACTGCGGATTATCAGGCTGTGTCTGGAACTAGGAACCTCAGGAAGAGCATTTGTGGACCTGCATATGGAGCCATTAGAGTCAGAGTGAATCTCTTAGGTTCTTTGATGAGAAGGCTTTCTGGGTGACGGTGGAGCCGCAATTTCTCTTTCCCAAGGGACAGAGTCACAATTCACTAAGTCACCAGTGTCTTGACGCACAGGGGCTTCAGGGAGAACGTTCCACGCTATCTTCATAGCGGTGCAGGTCAGGAAGCTGCCTGGGGGTCAGAGGCCTTCCCTTGCAGCTTCTTCCACCCCGACCCTAAACCTAGGGCCTAAGGGCGGGAGCCTCAATAGCGCGGCCGAGAATCAGATGAAACGGGAAAAGTGACTTCGCCAGTGAAATCAGAGTCTGTGGAAGTAGTAGTTGGTGGAGTTTCATCTCCCCGAACTGCTGGGGTGAGCGGCGAGGCAGTGCCAGAGAACGGGGCTGTCTTGGGGGTTGAGAGATTTGAACTGATGCAGATAGTTCAAAACCAGCTCATATACCCCGATTTGCAGATTTCCCACCATTTCTTTTTTTTTTTTTAAGTTTATTTATTTTGAGAGAGAGAGAGAGCACGAGCGAGCAGGGGTGGAGCAGAAAGAGAGGGAGAGAGTATTCCAGGCTTTCTCCCCATCCGTCCAGTGTGGGAGCAGAGCCCGATGGTAGGTCTCGAACTCACAAACTATGAGATCATGACCTGAGCCGAAACCAGGAGTCAGACGCTTAACCAACTGAACCACCCAGGCGCCCCATTCCCATCATTTAAAAAACAATTTTAATCTTTATTTTTCGGGAGGGGGCAGAGAGAGAGAGAGGGAGACACAGAATCCCCAGTAGGCTCCAGGCTCCGAGCTGTCAGCACAGAGCCGGACGCGGGGCTCACGCTCGCAAACCACGAGATCATGACCCCAGCTGAAGTCGGCCGCTTAACCAACAGAGCCACTTCGCGCCCCGTATTCCCACCGTTTCCATGTGCAGCGCCCCTAGGGGAGGGGCATCGCCCGCCACCTTTTCCAGCCAGCCCAGCCAGGCGCAGTGGTACTCAACATGCCCTGCTTGTGGTACAGTTCTCGGCGGGCCCGGCCGGCTGCCCCAAACAGGTGGAGTGTACAGGCTGCTATTTGGCATGATTGAAGAGGTCCCAGAGGTCTCTCCCGTCTCCTGGCGCTTATCCCCTCTGGTCGCCCTGAGAGGTCATGCAAGCCTTTCTCCAAGGGGCCCCTGGGAAACACCTCTGGGAGGAGCGGCGAGGGAAGCCACTGACACCCAAGTAGCAGTGGAAATTAGGCTCCAGGAGTGGGGCAGGGAGTGCGGGGGAGGTCCCCAGTAGGATTGTTAGCAGGGGCCGCCGCTCCAGAAGGCAGATCCCTGTGGGCGCCTGGGGCCAGGCTGGAGCCACAGGCCACCGCCCCAGGGCCCGTGGAGGCGTGTCAGGGGAGGCTGGCAGTGCCCAGCAGCTGCAGCCTGGATCATCTCCTTCCCAAGCTAGACTCCGGGGCAGCCATGAGGCAGGCGAGTGGCGAGCAGGCCCCCGAGGGACGCCCTAGGTGACTCAGGAGCAAGCCTTCCCAGCCAAGTTGCCGGGGCCACCTGTCCCAAGGCACAGAGAGAGTAGAGCCCTTGTCCCACCTCTTTTCTTGTTCCTCCCTCTTCCTCACAGTGCTCTTCTGCTGCCTCAGTGTTTCTCTGCCAGGGCATCTGGGCGGGGGCCCCGAGGGGCCCCAAAACTTCTTTTCCTTTTTAAAGACATGGCAAGGGGGCAGAAGTGAGCTGAGCCCACAGCACGGAAGGCATCTGCTCCGTTCCTGGTAGGCTTTCTGAGAATGCTTTGAAGGGAAGAGTATTCTGGGAGTCCTGACCACGGTTCTAGTTTCAGCTTTGCCACTAACTACCATGAAGTTTTGGAGAGGCCACATCCTTTCCCTCAGACCTCTTCTAAAAAATGATCGACAAGTATAGGCGGTCATTCAGCCAGTAATGGGCACTAGATCTCTGCTCGATGGACTAGTTAATAGGAAGCCATGTTGAGGCGGGGCTTGAAAGCTGGCTGGTAGGTGCTTAAAAGATGAGGGTCCTTGCTACATTTGGTGATCCCTCTGGTATAGCAGTGGGGCAGCAGGAAGGTCATATGGCCCAGGGGTTAAGCAATTGGACTTTGGTATCAGTCAGGCCGGACGTAAACCCTGATTCCACAATTTACCATCTGTGTTCCTTTGGGCAAGTCACTTTTCTGGGTCTCAGTTTTATTTTCTGCCAAATGGGCTTCAGATCATTTGTCTACATTTATAGGACTGTAGATAAGGCAGTTCTTTTTTTTTTAAGTTTTTATTTATTCATTTTGAGAGCAAGAGAACAAGCAGGAGAGAGGTGGGGGAGGGGGGTGGACAGAGGATCCGAAGCAAGCTCTGTGCTGACAGCAGAGAGCCCGATGTGGGGCTCGAACTCAGGAACCATGAGATCATGACCTGAGCCGACATCAGATGCTTAACCGACTGAGCCATCTGGGTGCCCTGATGAGATAGTCCTTCTAAACCCCTTCACATGGTAGCAGATACTCACTGAACGCTTTGCTAGTGTCAGTCAGTCAGTAGGTAAATAAGAACAGGATTGAATGCCAATGTTTTCTTCCAGGCACACTTCAGAAAAGCACAGGCCTTGGCCACCTTAGGCAAGGTGGAGGAAGCACTGAGGGAGTTTCTGTATTGTGTGTCCCTCGATGGAAAGAACAAAAGAGCAAGATCTGAAGCCCAGAGGGTGAGTCGGGATGACATCAGGTCCAGCTGCCCAGTGGGCTCCCACTGGCCCGTCTTCTCCAGGGAGGGGAGTAAGGGAACTACCCTCCCTGGCATTTAGGGCCCTGAGTGGGTGGCTCCGTTGGTTAAGGGGGCAGGAAGGGGACACGTGTCCCAGTCGACTGCTCAGAAACACACTGTCCTCATGGCGTGGACAATCCGTTTGAGCAGTTCCTGCATTTCTGTAGGAGCCTCTGAGGCACGTTCTCGCTTCTTAGACTCAGGTTCTGAGCTGTGAGCGGTAAAACCGCCCCAAACCAAAGCAGACAAGTTAACGTGGGGACGGAGGCGTGCCAAGGCCCTGGGCCCTGGCGGCTGTGCAGAGGTCAGGGGTACGGGCTGCCCGCAGCTGTAGAACTTTGCTTTGGCTGAGTCACAGCCTCGCCAGCCACAGGGGACAACCGGCTCCTCACCGGGAATGTTGGTCACCATCTCCTCTGCTATATGCAGAACTCTGGCCTTCAGCCTCTGCTAGAAATAGAACACACACACTGTCTCACAGACGTACGTCAGGGGCCGTCACAGTATAATGCAAGCAGTCATTCCAACACTTGAGTGCCAGCAGAACGTGGCTGGCGTGTGTGTATGTGCTCATGCGTGTGCGTGTGACACATGAAATGTTTGCACTGGTGGAGGGCACGAGGGTCCTCTGTTCACGGACGCCAGTGCTTACTGGCTGGCCTGCAGGGTGCTTTCAGAGTGTGTGGCTCACTGGCCTGGAAGTTGGATGCTGACAGCCAGGGGTGGCCTCTGCCCTCCTTGTGCCCCTCCCCCCATCCGCCACCTGTCTCCGGTGCCTCCGTCCCCGTGAGAGCTGTGGACGAAGAAAGGGAGCAAGGGACAGGATCAGTTTCTGGAGGCTCTGGAAGAGAAGCGTTAGCAAAATCAGTGACCTGGGGGCAGCTGAGCTCTGGAGGTCCCACCTCACACAGATTTCTTCCCTGGAAAGTTGCCTTGCCCTGGTTTGGGAAGCGGGGCAAGGTGTTCGTGAGCAGAGCACTGGTGTGGGAGAATTTGCTCCAAGCCGTGGACCCTTCCCCGAGTCTTAGGTGCGGGCCATGGAGTGAATAACGACGATAACAGCTAATGTTTATCGAACGTCTCCCGTGCACCAGGCACTGTGCTGGGGCTTTTGTGGGAGATGTAATTTCATCTCCACGGCACCCCTTTGAAGTGAGGGTAGGTGATGTTATTTATCCCCATGCTACAGATGGGACAGATGAGGAAGCCAAGGCCGGGAATCTTCCCCCCACCCCCACCCCCCCGGAGGCCACGCAGCTCGTGATTGGTCGAAGGGCATGCAGACCCAAGTCCACCTGCTTCCATCTGCTTTCTCAGTGGCCCGCCGTCCTTCCGTCCCCGGGAAGACACGCCAGGGCCACGGCGCTCACTGCCGGGGCGGAGTGGGGAGTAGCAGCAGGGCTGTCCGGTTCCGGGGATGGGAGATCGGTGGAGGCTGGTTAGAAGAATCTCGCTCTGGCGCAGCACCTCCCTGGAGACCCGAAGACTCAGAAGCCGCACCCTCGGTCCTTCAGGACCTCACAGTCCTGCATGTGTTCTACAAAGTGGCATAAATGCCAGACAGCCCAGGGGAGCCCATGCCCGCGAGGAGCGTCCCGGAGTTCCGAAGCTGGGGCGAAGATTTAGAGGCGAATTTCCGCTGGCCTTGACGAGGGCTCGTAGCCGTAATACGGACCCTGAGGGCCCTCGGTGGTTCTGAGTCACTGGATTGTTCCAGATTCAGGGCTACAGATTTGGCGAAGATGGTCCAGGTTCCCTTGGCAGTAATTAGCTACCTCAGACACTCCCAGGCCTAGGTTTCTTTTCAGTGTTTGCTTTTACCGCAGATTCTTTTTTTTTTTTTTTTTACACCCCCCCCACCTTGACCCATGTGGGCCTTTCCAAGGCTGACACTGAAGTAGAATTGACTTTAATTCACATGGAATGATTATTCCCACTGAGCGTTGACCCCAGCTTTTGTTTTCCAGAGCCGCTGGGAAGGGCTAGGATGAGATCTTAGGTAGTAAAGGTAAGCCGTGAAGGGCCATTGCGGTTTCTCCCTTGTTTCCTTCCGTTTTCTCCCCTCTGCCTCCTTGCTCTGCCCTCTAATCCATGTACCTTCGGATGCTGTGTGGCTGTCACCGGAGAGCACTGTGCTGTTTTTTGTTTTTAAGTTTTTCTCTTAGTTCCAGTTAGCTAATGCATAGCGTCACGTTAGTTTCAGGTGTGTGATACACTGATTCAGCAGTTCCTTACGTCACCCGGCGCTCATCACGGCAAGCAAGCATTATGCTCTTTGGGGGAGAATTCCAGGGAAACTGCTTCAGGAGTAGGTTCTGAAGGCCAACTTTGGCAACTGAGGAAGAGGGGCCTCTGAAAGCCGGCACTTCATGGCCCTGGGCACCGTACCTCCTCACCTCCCTCCTTTACCGACTGACACCTGGGAAGTGGGTTTCCCCACAAGCAGCTTGGACCCTCGGCCTCTCCCATGGCCCTGGGATGGATAAGTGTCTCAGTTCGATTCCGTCTGGTGTGACGAGGATGTGCTGGACAGCTGTGATGCGCGTCCAAAAGCTGGCCATCTGGTTAGAGGGAAAGATGTACGCGCACGGTGCAACGTGAGGCTGACGCGGGACTCTGTAGTCCCGGGTGCTCGACCGTGGTGCGGCGCAGAGCGCAGAAGGACATGTGAGGTCTCGGAAGCCGGAGTGGTGGCACGGATGCCAGCCTGGAAGGCTGAGCAGGGTTCCGCCTGTGCAGAGTGCTGACATCTCAAGGGACGTGGTGAAGGCACTGCTGGGGGCCAGCGAGGGAACACATCAACCTGGACGGGGTTTGTTCCGAATTCCGGTCCGACTCCCTTGATCAGTTAACATCCTGTTCCCCTGAGCAAGGGCGCAGAGCATCCCTTAGTGGGTCTCCGAACAATGCAGCAGCTGCCCAGTGGCAGACACTTCTCCGTGGTTTAGAAGCTAGGCGACCCACTTTCTTGTGTTCTGTGTTACGTCCGGCAGAGACGCGTGTCCGCCTGTCAGCGGTGCTGGCACCGGGGAGGATTGGAACGAGAATGCGGGCAGCACGCATGAGAACACATGTTCTTGCCTCTCAGGCCCTTTGGGGGGTTCTGGGAGTCCTACCTGCCACCTCGCCCGCACTGCACCCTATCCATCCTCAAGGGAAGCCAGCTGCGGGCTGGAAGCCGCTTGCCCCCAGTAATTCAAGGTACCCCGCAGTCTCCTCGCAGTGGAGGCCCGAATGGGGGGAGAGGCCCGGTTCGGCTCTTCCCCCCGCTTTGCTGTAGAAGGAATGGGCAATCCCAGGAGGACGGCCCGGGTAGGAGGGAGCGAAATGGGCCGGCAGGGGAAAGACGTACCCAGGAGCCTGGAGGACGCGTGCACACTTCTACTGGTGGGGGTGCTACGGAGCTGACCGTGGGCCCGGTGACGTTTCTTGCCTGCCCCCACCTCTCTCTCTCCTCCTAGATAGGTTCTGAATTCCGACCATAGATAACTCTATGGACTGGTAACCCGGGAGTGACGGCTCTTAACGTTGGCTGGGGTGACAAAGGCACCCGAGGTACCCTTCAGAAGTCCAGATGCCTGGGCTACACTGGAGGCCTGAGGCAGCCTGGCATGGGGGACCCGGAGCCTGGAGAGTTCTGATGCTCCCTGGGTGCTTCTGACGCACGCCGAAGGGAGGCTCCCTGCCCGGGGCGCGTTGGGGTCTCCAGTCCCAGGCTGCTTGCGTGGGGTGTCACCCCCGAAGTTAATGCTCCCCGCCCCTTCCCCCCTCCCCCTGTCAACCGAGCACCTGTAGAAACTTAAGTAGTGAAGTCTTCTGTTTTATGTCACAGCTTCTCCTTAGTTTCTTTTCACCATCAGTCCCGGGGGAGTCTCAGGAACATTCTCCCGATATCCTGAAGTTGTTGGCACCTCACCCTAGATTAAAGGAAAACGTAGAGTCAATGGCTACTGAAGGCGCCAGTCATAATCTACCAAAGTTACCACAGGTAAAACTCCACTCGCCCAGCTCGCTCGTGATGCTTCGTTTGGCTGTTGTGTGGGCAAACTTGGGAGTGAGCCCTCCCTCTCCTTCGGTTCCTGAGGAAGAAGAAAAGGAGTCGCTGGCGGTCGTGTTTTTTGCTAGGAGGTTATTTCTTATAGATAAGACTGGATTTCAGGCACGGTCCTGGGTTTTTTGTTTTTGTTTTTGTTTTTTTTCTTTTTTATCTTATCACAGTCATTTTTCAGTTTTTGGTCAGATCCAGCTGAGAGAGAGAGATGTGACAGAAGTAGAAAGGAAGGGGCCCACTTCCCCTGGACCTATTCAGTGGGGGGGGGGGGTGCTTTCTCAGCTTGGGGGCGGAGCCTGGGAAGAGACCGGACAACCCCTCCTTCCCTGCTTTTTTTTTTTTTTTTTTTGTCGTTGGTTCAAGCTACTGGTCTTCCAGCACCAGCTAAGCCCCTCATGCAGACAGCTCCATCGGATCCCCTGGCGGAGGTAGTTTTATATTCCCGCACGATATCTTCCACATTTGTAGACCTTCCAGTACGGATTCTCAGGCAGGAAGAGGGAAGCAGTTTAGGAAGCACTGAGGCCCTGGGAGAAAGATAGGTGTCTGTGCCTGTCTTTGAAAACAAGGGAACAGAACCAGAAAGAGATGTGCTCAGGGCCCTCGCTTTCCCAGCAGAGAGCAAGTGGGTGGACGCTGGGGCCCAGGAGTCCAGACTGGAAGGCCAAGGTTAGCGCTGAGAACCTGGGCCCCTTGAGGCAAGTCTTCCCTCGGCCCGGGCGTGCAGTGTGCTCTTCCCCCGTATAGAAGCCCTGTGATCTGCACGGCTTCTTGGGTTCTCAGACGGGTAGGAGCCTTATATTTTCCCTGCTTCTGCCCCGCTCTGGAGAAGGAGCAAAACGCGGGTGTACCTGACTTAAAAAACAAACAAACAAACAAACAAACAAACAAGAGGGGCAGCACCGAGTATCTCCTGGAAGCAGAGAACCCGAGTGCATTTCAGTAACGTTTGAAACCGTTGTTACGTGGCTGAGACCGCTGATGGGAATCCGAAGGGTCTGGAGTGACTGCCCCTTGCAGCTCCATCAGAAACGAAGGGAAACAGCACTCCTGGCTTTCCAGGGTGAGCCAGCCCGGGAGCGGGGGTCAGCCTTCCACACAAGCTTTGCTTTGCCGAGCAGTGTATTCCCGTGTGGATGCCTAAGGCCCCTAGAAAGTTGAGGATGCAGCAGCGCCGTGGTGCTGAGGGGCCTCTGAACTCCCCAGGTTAGAGACTTGAGAAAACCCGCGTCACCTCACTGACCTCTCCCGACCAAACGCTCCCCGTTTTCCATGTATCTACCAATGTGGCAGGGGAGGGAGCTAGGGGACTGGAGGGGGACAAAACCCCACATGAGCATTTGGACTCATGGACTGTGGATTTAGAGTAGAGTTCAGAATTCTCCAGGAAAATCTGCACGAACACCCCCTGGTATTTGGATTTATTTCTAGATCCATTTTCAAATACCCGGTCCTGGACAAAAATGCTTTAAAAGGCTGGAGACATTATGGGGCATTTTGCCAAATGAGTTGTCTCGTTTTCAACTCTGGTACCGGTGGTAACTCTGCGGGCCCATGCCAGAGCCTTAGCGGAAGTCCTTTTGGAGCTGGGTGTGGGGCTTGCAGATGGCCTGGAAGGGCAGTGAGAGCAACAGGAAGGATGGAGTGATGGACGGGACCTGCCCTCACCGCATGTCTTAGTTTCCCTCCGATGGTAACGGGAAAGCTTTGGCCAGGAGACGGCCTGGTGCCACACTCTTGCATCTGTCCCCTTTATCATAGCCCAAGGAGTCTGTCTGTCCCCTACGTACCTCTCTGTCCTCGCCTAGGGAAGGTCGTCAACTCCCCCTAGGCCGGGCGTGCCTTTGTCTCAGACGCCATGTGGCCAGAAGTAAGAGATGTGTCTTATGACCGCGCCCCTCTCCAGTTAAGCTGTGCGCCCACTAAATGGATCAGGCCTATGCAATTTCCTCTCTGCCCCCGGTGGGTAGCAATGTCGGAGGATGATCCCCCGCCCGAGTTGACGCTGACATGTGGCTCTTTCTTCGTCCAGGAAAGCCTGGAGCTCCCGCACTGCTCTCGCCAGGACGAAGCGGTGGCCGCGGGAGACCGCAGCAGCCTGGCGGACCCCGTTAAAGTAGAGGGGGAGGGGCAGGAAGGCCACGGGAAAGACCAGGCAGGAGCTGAGGAGGCCGAGGAAGAGAAGGGGCACGCCGCCTCTGCCAAGGCCGGCAAATGCCAAGAAAAGAAAAGGAAACATCATCATTGTGGACCCCAAGACCCAGAGGTGCCTACTAAAGCCAAAAAGCCAGGTACTGACCCCACCCAGGGACCCAGGGGCTCGGAGGCGGTGCCTGGGCTCAGCAGCATATGCGGGTTCCTTAGCCGCCATCCGAAGGCTCCGCGGGCTCCGGGTGTGTGGCCGGGCTCTGGCACTTGGCTGTGCCGCCTCAGGTCGCGCCCATGCTTCTGGGAGGGCACACCGTCTGTTAGCCCACTGCCCGGCTCACTGATAATAATGGAAAACCAAGGCCTGAGGTCAGCCCCGTATTGAGAGATGACACCTCGTACCCTTGATGGTGTCACCTTCCAGGCCAGCCTGTCCCTAGCCTCGTCTCTGTTCCAGGAATGCAGGATCAGAGAGGCGTGATTAGGCCTCACCCTCATTCTTCCCAGTGGGGTGCCCGTGGGTAGGCAGTGGAGAAGCAGCAGCCTCAGCTCAGTGGTTTTCCAAGAGAGGCTGGCGGTGCCGAGGTTCAGGGTTGGCATTGAGGGCCTGGTTTGGTCCAGGGAACAGCTGCCACCACAGAGTGAGGTGCCAATGGCGTTGGAGGGAAGTCACCAGGGCTCCCGGACATCCCCTGGTCTGCATCTCCCTTCTTGTGAGCCTGCTGGAAACCTACCAGAGGCCCCCCTCAGGGCACCCCATGCCCAGGGCACCCCCATGCCCCGTGACTCAGGTGGCCACCCCTCGGGGAGGCGCTGAGGGTGGCGAGCGGGTAAAAGAATGGGCTACTCGGCTTCAGAAGTGCTGTCTGTGCAGGCCAGCCTGCTCGGCCTCTGACCTCCTGCTTTCTAAATCACAGGTCCTCCTGCCGACCAGGGGGCCGGAGCTGCGGTCAGTGTTCCACTCCCGTCTTTTGATGCATCTGACCTTGAATGCTCTCTGTGTATGAGGTATGTGATGGGTACTATCACTTACTGCCTGAAGCGCCTTGTTCTGGGGGATTCTGGGCCTTTCTTGCCAGTGATCTACTATGCGGTTGGTTGGCACAGAAAAGCGCGGTTCTAACAAAAGGAAAACCTTGCTGTTGGTTGTCACTTGGGCTAGCATGTGTCCCTTGCTTACAGATGACGTTTCCTGCACTCATGACAGAAATAGCTAGAGAGGGGGAAGGAGATGGTCTGCTCAGAATCACAGACCAATAGCCACAGGCTGAACGTCTTTAGCATGGCCTTCGTGTGAGTTTTTTGGGTTGTCGTTAAATGTGAAGGCTCAGAAATGGGACATGTGCTCTCCATTCGGGCCGTGGCTCTCCCTGCCTCCACTGCCCCCGCTGCCTTCCGCCAGCCTATGTCTCCTAAGCGCATTAGTTTCCTGGGCCCTTGTCGGTATGAATTCATGACCGCGGAAGTAAGCGCAACTACTGGATCAAGATCTCCATGCTCAAGGGCTAATGTCAGTGCCGCGGGCCTGTTCTTTGGCAGTCAAGTACTGGGCCCGACTGGTTTTCATGTCGAACCGTATTCGTAGTAGGCGTGTACTACTTGGCCTGGTGTCTCTTCTCTGCCCAGGGGGGAGGCAGATGGTCCACGCGCCTGCCCACCCCTGCCCTCAGAGAAAGGAAGCTGGTATAAGCATGGGCTGTGAGAAAAAAGTTGCATTCCCCTGTTTCGTTTCACAGCTATGACTCTGCAGCTAAGAGGAGGAGCTGCAAAGCCAGGCAGCCTGGCCCGAGCCCTGTGTGTGTGTGTGTGTGTGTGTGTGTGTGTGTGTGTGTGTGTGTTTGGTGTTTCCAGACCAAGGTCCACAGATTGCAGTAGATTCTCAAATGTGGTGTTCTTTGTCCCCCAAAATAGCATGAAGAGAAGTTTGAGATATCTGCACAAAACTTGTTAAGATGGTTGACCCAAGGGATGTCAAGAAACATCCTGTGGTCTATCATGTGGTGGGGTCCTGGGATGTTTCCTTGCCCTTTGCAAGCACGTGTGCCTTCTGTATCAATCGCGTGCGTTTGCATTCGGAAGGACTTTTCTTGTGTGCATACCGACGAGTAAGACAGCCATTACCTGGACATGTACTTTGTCTCTCTTTAAAAAAAAAACAAAAAAACACAGTTGTCAGACGTGCTCCTGAGATCGGGCAGACCTGAAAATGAACAGTTCGGCCGATGGAAGGCAGCGGCACCCCAAGAAAGCCTTCCAGATACAATGGGGGGTTTTAGGCGGAATGGGTGAGAGTGAGGTGGGCTACGTTACCAGTTCCCTTTTACCGCCTCTCGCTCCCCCTCACAACAAAGCAGCCGGAGGATCATGGCCAAGCCGAGGTATGAGGTGGATAAACTCCATTTCCAGGCAGAGAAATGGGCCTCTGGCACCGTGCCTCTAGGCCTGTGGTGTGAGCTGCGGTCGTTCAGGCGTCAGACCTTGACAGCCCTGGTTTAGCTCGTTCAGAGGGCCCAAGTCCTTCCTTGCTGGATGTAAGTCCTTCCTTAACACTCCTCCCGCCGTCCAGTGAACGCAGCGAGTGCAAAATCAAACACACACACTCGTCCTGTTGGCGTTTCTGCTGAGGACTCAGACTCCTGAGGCTGGAGTTCTTTTGTTCTGTTTCCTCTGCTTTCTCCCTTTCGTCTTGTTTGTCCCTGATCTCAACGGGGAGCTTCAGGGAAGGGTTAGAAATTCGCTCCAAGAAATAAACACCGAGGGGACGAGCCCCCCCTTCTGGTCTGCTCTGAGCTTAAAAGCCATCACTTCCCTTATCCTGCCCCTCTGCCCTAAGGGAGGCTTCAAAACAAAAGCCGGCTTTGTCTGGGGTCACTGTCGGATGGGCCGAGTGAGTTATAGGGGGACTCCAGCCGCTTTAGGGTGCAAAGACACCTGCCAGCTGCAGAGGGCATTTGTGGTCTGGGGGTTCTGGAAACCGTGGCCCTGGGCCAGAAGCGCGTGGTTCCCCTTCCAGCAGGGTTTGTCTGGAAGGCGGAAACCAGCCGTTGACAAGGCTGTTCCATAGACGTGGCCCTCACACGCTTCCTGCTCCCACGTGCTTAGTGCCCCCCCTTTATGGTCATCAGGGTTCTTATCACGTCCTGTCATGACCCTCACGTGTCTTTGGCAGGGGCAGAGGGTGTCTGAGAGTCGGGATATTTTCAGACAATCTGCTGGGTCATGAAACTAGACGGCTGCACCCTCCTGTGCAACTTTCTGGAATGAAATCCAGTCCCGCGGTGCCGCAGTGGTACAAGGCAAATTGGAGGGTGAAGTTCATCGAGTCTGGAGAGAAACTCGGGAGCGGCTTTGGCGCCTTACAGGGAAAGGGGTGGAAAGAGCGAGCGGAACGGGAACTGGAGCGCGCATTTCTGAGCCCCTTTATCATCTCCGAGCGCCCCTGGTCGGACCGGGAGAGCACTGTTGAGGGGGGTCGCCTCCTAATTCCAGCACCTCAGACCTCTGCTCCTCAATCTTTAGTGACTGAAACCCTCCCTTGAGGTTTACTGAGGCGGCTGTTCTCGCCCCTGCGGGAGGTGGGGGGGCACCTCTGGGGCTGTGGGAACAGCGCCTTCGGGATGACAAGGTTATTTTGAGATGTGGAGCAAGAATGTTTGATATTTGAGCCAGTTACCTAATGGCCCAGTGACCTCTTTGTCAATCGCAGTGAAAACTTTGTATTCAGCCTCATTTTAGCTACTCACGTAGCTGGGCGTTGAGGAATCGGTTCCCTCCCCCCCCACCCCCTCACCGTCTCTCTCCTTCCTGCCCTCCCTCTCTATCTCTCTCTCTCTCTCTCCCCTCCCCCCCCATTCCCTCTTCACTCTCATTTGATAGCAGCAAAAGAACACAATACAAGGATGTAACTGGTGGGAAAAGATAGCTATTTCCAGACAAGCCAAGCATTTTATCCGGGCTGACATCTAACTGAAAGCATTTATTATTACCATTGTTTACTCCACCGCTGTGACAATGTAAAATGCTTTCTTGTGAAAAAACCTGGCTCTACTCGGATTTATACATGCCTCCCGGAAGTGTTTTCTGAAAATCATCACCTAAAGTGGTAAATAAAAGGGAGAGGGTTCGAGTATATACCTACTTCTAGCTCTCTGTCTATAGACTTCTCTCCCTCTCTCTTTCCGGAGTGGGGGAAAGGAGAGGGAGAGAGGAAACTACGGCGGCGGCACATGTGTGCACACGCAGGCAGACGACATCTGTTCTAGATGTGCACACACCCGCAGCTGCACCACGTAGTGGCCCAGGGAAGGTGCGCTTGGGAATCCAGTGTGACTCCACGTCCCAAGCCCTGCTACTTCCTAGCTAGCTGTGTGACCCTGGGCAAGTCATTTGACTGGAGTCTTAATTTCCTCAAGAGTAAATTGGAACTAATCCTCATCACCGCCTATTCACATATGAAGTTCATTGATATGAAAAATAGTTCGACAGACACACAGAAGAGCCAGCAAGATACACGCCGCCTGCTCCTTGTCACTTTACTCAGCCAGCCTTTCTAGAGGAGCAGAGCAGCTCTGAAGAGAGAAGCGAACTGCGTCTTGAAAGGTGATACACTCGAAGCATCTGAGCTTTGGAGTATTTCAAAGCGACCATTCTACAGCCTCGGTGTCAGCCTTCTCGCCTGGGCCGCTCAATCGGGCATTTTATTCACTGCTCTTGCTAAGAGTTGCTACTTCCTTTTGCGTCCAATTCCCTGGTCTGCTCATTAAGTGTCAGTATTGCAGTTAATTAGCCAGGGATATCCTCGTTGTTTTACAAAAGGCCCGAGTTTAAAGTTCTCAGGGACAGCAGTTTTGCAGGTACGGACTCCTCAGTCATCGCCGTCAGTAGTGTCCTGGACTAAAGTATGCAAGTAGTCAGACTCCTAGGAACTAAACCACGGCCAAGACCCCAGGAGCCTTCCGTGCACCGCTTCCAAATCACGGCTGCTTGCCCCCTGCCCACCGAAACCGCTATCTCGACTTTGTCTCTTCTTGTTTATTATTTATTTATTTTGAGAGAGCTGGGGGAGGGCCAGAGAGAGAGGGAGAGAGAGAGAGAGAGAAGAGAGAGAATCCCAAGCAGGCTCCGCACTGTCACGAACCGGGAGATCATGACCTGAGCTGAAATCAAGAGTCAGATGCTTAACCGACTGAGCCACCCAGGCGCCCCCGTTGTCTCTTCTTTTTAAAAATAGTTTTACCAACCCCATGTATGCGTCTCTAAATGGGGCTTTTACCTATATCTAAAAAGTTTTACATAAATCGAATTGTCCTGTTTCTTTCTGTTCTGGCCTCTTTACCGCGGTGTTAAGGTTTATGCATGTCACTGCATGTCCACGAAGTTCTGTTGTTTTCATTAGTGTATGGTGTCCCGTTGTATGAGCCTGCCACACAGTTTCTTTACCAGTTCTAGGGCAGGCGGGTATTTGGGCCGTCTCTAGTTTGGGGGTGCCGTGGGCAGTGTTGCCATGAGCAGTTTCCGTGTATGCAGGTGCATATAAATCTTTGCTCATTTTGAGTGGGTTCTCTCTCTTTTTCTTACTGACTTACAGGAGCTTGTTGTATGGTCTAGATACAAGTCCTCTGTTAGTCACGCATGCTGCATGGACCGTCTCCCACCTGCGGCTTGCCTTTCTGCTCTCCTACTGGCCCCTTTTGGTGAACTTACAAGTTCTTCATTTTAACGCAATGAACATCATCAATCCTTTCGTTTATAGTCAGCAGGTTTTTTTTGTTTTTGTTTTTGTTTTTTGGTGCATGTCTTGCTTAAGAAATCTTTTTCTTCTCTTACCTTGAGGTCATAAAGATGTTCTGTTGTGTCTTCTAAAAGCTTTACTGTCTCGCATTTCTCTTTCCAGCCCACATGGAAGTGATGTAGTGTGTATGGTGTGAGAGGCGGCCCACCTTCATTTCCCTGTGTGGGCAGCCAACTGTCCCACATGGCATTCATTGAGAATGCTATTTATGTATTGAACCCCCCCCCCCCGCTTTGAAGTGCCACAGTTGTCATAAATCAAGAATCTGGATCTGGGTCTATTTCTGGGCTTTCTATTCTATCCACAGATCTATGTGTCCTTGTGCTAGCCCTACACCTTTTCAAACGCCGCAGCTTTATAAGGTCTATGGGGACTTGATTAGGTTTTCTTTATTTCTTTTCAGTGAGGTGTTTATAGTTTTTTCCTGTAGAGGGCTTGTGCAACTTTTGTTGGGCTTATTCCTGGGTACTTGATTTTTGAAAGCAATCGTAAATGCCATCGTTTGGAAAAATGTGTTTTCTTACATCTTTCTGCTGGTGTATAGAATACAGGTGAGTGTGTACGTACACGTGTCTAACATCCTTGAGGATACTAGCAATTCTTATGGATTCTAAGAATCATTCTGCAGATTCTTTTCGATTAGATCTTCCCAGTCCACCATCACATCATGTGTGAATAGGGACAGATTTGGGTTTTTTTCCACTCTAATGCTCATATTTTTGTAGTTTTCTTCTTGCCTTAGTACACTGGTTAGGACCTCCATCTTAAAGCGTGCTTTTGAAAGTTAATTTTACTTTGTGGGCAATTTAATAACTGACGTGTATTAATTAGGCTAAGCAGATTAACTGCTTCTTAAAACAGGATCAAAACGTTCAAAACCCAGTCGGTTACGCATCCGACTTCGGCTCAGGCCATGATCTCACGGTCTGCGAATTTGAGCCCCGCGTCGGGCTCTGTGCTGACAGCTCAGAGCCTGGAGCCCGCTTCAGATTCTGTGTCTCCCTCTCTCTCTGCATTAAAAAAAAAAAAATTCAAAAAGTAGAAAACCTGAATATACAAAAAGTCTCCCTCCTACTCCAAACCTTCATTGGCTTGGTTTGGTTTTGTATTGTTTTGTTTAATTTCAACATTTTAGCAATTTTTGTTTGTACTGGTGTGTACTTGCCAGACGTCACCTTTTCAGCATCCTGTTCAATGTCTGTCCTCTGATCTCCTAGAAGTCCGGTGCCACCTTGTCCCTGTCATGTGCCAGCGCCCAGCTCGGCGTCCGCACACAGTAGGCACCCCGAGCACATTGGCTGAGTGCATCAGAGAATCTGCTTTGCGGAGAGCTTGTTAAATCTAAACTGATTTCTCTTACGCCATTCTCTCCTTTCCCACGAGATGCTTTCCCCTCAAATTCCACTAGAATTTTTTTTTTAATCAAGAAAGAGGGGAATGTGCCAGCAGCTGCTACTCCTTCCTGGGCTTGTTAAAAATATCAAATCTCCATCCCTCCCTCCCCGGACCTGCCGAATCGCCAGCTTTATCCAGTTGGGGCTTCATCGTGTCTTTTTTTTTTTTTTTTTGTAAAGCTCTACAGGTAGATTTGCTAATTAGGTTTGGAGACCTATACAGAGGATCTGCCTATGTGGAGACTAGGAGGGCTGTGTAATACGGTGACCCCCAACCCTGGCTGCACGTTAAAACCACCAAGGAGCTTTAAAAAAAAAAAAAATTAGCCTGCCGCCCTTGCCCTTGACCCTGGACCAACTGCCCTGGACCTCTGCAGGCGTGGTCCCTGGCATCCTGTTGTTTTTAAAAGTTCTGCAGGTGATGGTGGGGGGCATGGGCTTACAAAGGCCCACGAGGAGATGTTTGGGGATGATGGGTGTGTTCATGACCTTGACTGTGGAGAGAGCTTCATAGGTGTATGCGTATGTTACAACTCATCACAGTGTATGCTGTAAGTGTCTGCCGTTGATTGTCCAGAAGTTAGACGTCAGTAAAGCTACTTCAAGAAACAAGCGCCCCAGGTGATTCTCACACACCAAGATGGTCGAGGGTCCTGGTTCCATTTTTTTCCCCCAAGTACTTTTCGGCTCTGACATTTTGATTGTTCGGCTCAGCCGGGCTGGGAGGGCCCGGCTGTTGGTACACCTCCTGGCCACGCGAGGGGGCTGTGTAGCCGGCGGCCTCTTCCTCCCAACTGAACGCTCTTGCGAGGTCAAAACAGGCTGGTCGGGCGGCCGTCTTTCCCTTTTGTCTGTCCTCCTGGTGAGCGCCAGCCCCACTTCTGAACCACCGTCGTGAGCCGCCCCCACCCAGTGGTCCTGCCTCAGGTGAGCTTTTCTTTTTAAAAATGGCAAAATAAATCCGTGGATCTCTGAATGTATGGAAGAGCTTTTTAAAAGATTCCCCAGGTTGCTTTGAAAATACCCAGCTCCTGCAAAGCAATTAAAATAAGATCTAACTGAAGTATAGGTGTGCACACCTACATACGTTTGTATGTATGTCTTCATCAGGAAGCACACTAACAGTGTTACTCTCCTGCCCCAACGAAAATGATCCATGCATGCAAAAGGCAGTTACGTGTTTGCTGCAGGTACAATTTCGAGACCCTTCAGGCAGCAAACGTTGCTTAGGTAAAAATGGGATGAAGGTTAGCAAGCAACCCAAGCCTTTTTTTTGTTGTGTATATGCTGTCGAGTCCTGAAATGAATAAATATGTGAGACAGAGTGTGTGCGTCTCTGTGTGTGTGTGTGTGTGTGTGTGCGCGCGTGTGCGTGTGTGTGCGTGTGCGCTTATCTGCCTCTGTGTTTATGTATCTTCAGGCGAACAGGTTGGCTGAATATTTTAGAATGTGATCTGCTCAGACACTCTGGGCATTCATCTCGATTTTTCCAAGACCTGGCAGGGAAGAACAATTTGGATGCCAGTCGGAAGAGGCTGACTGGAACTAATGTTACAGAATGATCTAGCTGTCGGAAATATTGATAAATGCATTATTTTAAAATCCAGCTCAGAAATAGAAAGCAAAGGCTTTTCCGAAGTGGTAACAACAGCAGGGAATTCTGTTTAAAAAGAAAGACTCCCCCCCCCTTACACACACACACACACACACACACGGAATTTTCCGAATAATACTGTAGAAGCTTAACATTGAATAGCTCTTTTATTTTTTTGTCTGATTGCATCATTTTTCTTCCATTTTGATTCCTAACTTTCAGATTATTCTACGAGCCAGTCACAACACCTTGTGGTCATACGTTTTGTTTAAAATGCCTTGAAAGATGTCTAGATCACAATGCAAAGTGTCCTCTGTGCAAAGATGGTCTTTCGCAGGTAAACCATTATTTCTCTCTTGATTACGTTAGATGGTTTGGAATTGGATACTAAAATGGTGGCCCATTTCCTCCGAAGCCAGTGCCCTGGGCTAGGGCAAAATACCCTCTCAGACCACCTATTCTTCCTGTCTCATAGCTCCCCCTCCCCTCTTTGCAAAGTCCTTCAGGACGATCAGGTGATCAGGCAACGTCTAGCTTTTTATGAACTGTCAATAGGGAAGTTAATTGGTGGTGGGAACAAAAGTGTTAAATTGACGGTAAACATGGGTCGTAGTGCGGAGCCATCCATCATGGCACCCGAGTCACCGCAGCCTTACAGGAGTCCTCTGCCTTCTCTGGGATTGGACAAGAGGAGCTCCAAAACCTTCTTATCATCCACATCTGTTCTTGGTTTGAAGAGATCGCTCCCAGGTCCCCGGGACAAACCTCACAGACCTTCAGCGAGGCCCTTGTCTCCCCCCTCCGCCCCCCCCTCCCCGGGCCGCCGTACATATTAGCAGATATTTAGCTACTTGAAAAGCTTGGGGCTTCCAGGTCCTTTAAAAGGAGCCATACAGACTGCCGCCATTGTTTTCTGGGTGGACCCAATGGAATTTCCTATAGTATAGGAATACCTAGGAGCCCACCCTTGGGGACTTGTGTGGCACATATTACAGCCAGACTTAATGATCCTTGATGCTAGTTGTCCCTGAGGAGAGATCAGAGAGGCAGGACACTCAGTGAAGTCACACGTTGAGTCTTCCAGCACCCAAACACGTAAACTAAGTGGATGGGGTGAAATGGACATCCAGGGTAACCCTGGGTTGGAGGGGCGGGTCACTGGCACACCTTGCCTGGATCAAGGGATGGGATTTTTCTGGCCTGATTGTGGGGGAGAGGCCCATGGTTCTCATACTTAAATATACATTTGTGTTGTGCTAACCCTGCAGCATTCAATTAAGCAGAAGGAAGAAAAACCTACCCGTATGCTCAGCACCTGGAGAAAACCACCGTTTAGCATGTTAATGTTTGCCTTTCCTGGGGTTTTGTTTCAGGTCAGGGAGGAGTCACCTCCTCCATGGGTGGGTCAGCTACCTCCGAGTCATTGCAGATGCGGTGGGGTCCCAGAAAATATTCCCGTCTATCTCTGTGTATTCACACGGGGTCGCACGCACACCATTTCCAAGAGAGAGAAACCATTCTATTTCTAATCGTCTTCACTGCAGAATAGACCCACATAGCCCATACTGGGAAAGGAAAAATAATTCTCGAACCAGCCATTTGGTACTCAGGAGCTCCCCCTGCTGGGTCTGTGTGGGTAGTGTCCGGAGCAAACGATTCGCAGATGTTTTAACGCCCATTGTCTGCTTCACACAGTTAAATCCCCTCTGCTTCTGGATCCCTGGGTGTTCAGGAGGTTAGGGTGTTTGGGAGGGCAGTAATAGGGACACACTTGGGCCTGAGTTCGGTTCTGAAATCGTGGTTTATAACATAATTTCAGATCCCCAGGATTCAGCAGTTTTGTTTTGGTTTTAGCTAAAATTAGAGGGGGGAAGATATTTAGACTGGCACTGTCCAGACTTGTCAGCATTGAGATGGGGTGGGGTGGGGTGGGGGTGGGAGGGATCAGGGGAAGATCAGTGATTGAAAGTGGCCTTCTCGTTCCCTGAGACTTCTGACCACACACTTTCAGCATATCCCAATTGGAGACCATTTTTGCTAGTTGGTAAATGCAGTCGCCAAAAAAAGGGATGGGGAGGCTTTCCCCCCCTCTTGACGCGAACGTAATCTCAATTTGAGTGTTTGAGGAAAGCTCACCTTTTGGAACTTCAGTGCAGGTCTCTTCTCCCCTTGTTAGAATATTTTTCTCTAATTATAAACGGAATCGTGGGTAACATCCAGAGAACACACACATCGTGATATTACCAGCTGCTAACGTGTGGGTCCGAATGACTCCCAGTGTGTGGATGATTCAGCCCTTCTGCTGATTACGTCAGAAGTGCTTTGTGTTTCTCTGATGGCCGGCTTATCCCCCGTTGCCCTGTTTCCTCTATAGTGCCTGGCATCCAGAAAATATAGCAAAAATGTCATAATGGAAGAGCTAATAGCGAAATTCCTGCCAGAAGAACTCAAGGAGCGAAGGCGGCTTTATGAAGAAGAAATGGAAGAACTGTCTAAGTATGTACCTGCCTATCTCTTTGGTTTCACTCATCACAGCTCATGTGAGGAAGCAAATGTGCACATCTCTTCCTCACCGCCCACTTAGCGGTATCCTGCCGGTAGCTTGAGATTGGCCTTGGTGAGCGTTATCTGCACCGTAGGAATCGGCAGCTGCTATAAGCTGCAGCTTTCCACCCCCTCGACAGCCAGTTTTTTGGCATTTGCCAGCACACCACTGAAGACACGTGAGCCGGACTGCCGCCCAGCTCCCGTCTTGGCGCTAGTAACTGGGTGTCGCTGGCAGAAGCAAACCGAAGCCTCTGTAAGGGGGACTTACATAGTGCGCAGAAGGTTGTTTGCAAAAAGCCTAAAGAGGTGCCGGGGGCTGGGGGGAGGGGAGCTGCGGTTAAGAACTTTGTCAGCCAGACCTGGGCTTGTGGCCGGGTGTTGCCACCAAGCGGGTACACTTCGGGACCATAGGCAAGTCACTTGACCCCTCCGGGCCTCAGTTTCCTCATGTGTAGCTGGGGGAATAGGAAGTCCTCACCTCATGGACTTGTGACGAAGGTCACACGAGCTGGTGCGCAGTGAGTGCTCGGCACAGGGCGAGAGGAAGGCCGCTGCGTGTCGCACGCCTTCCTGGGCCGGGCGCATCTGGAGGTGAGGGGCGAGGACTGACGGACAGAATGTCGGTTTCGGTCTCTTCGCTCTTACGCTCACCCCTGCACCAGTAGTGGGACTTAGCCCACGGTGTCGGAGGCATCTCAGTGTTGTGTTTTAATCAGCCGTCAAAACCTGAGGTCTCCTTGCCTCCCGGGGAGCGGGGGGGGGGGGGCACGAGGTGACATTTGACCAGCCTTTGTGTGTTCTGCCTCACGGTTTTGAGGAATCTTGTCCTTTGCTCTTCCTGACAGCTTGAATAAGAACGTGCCTATTTTCGTGTGCACTATAGCCTACCCCACGGTCCCCTGCCCCCTGCACATCTTCGAGCCTTGTTACCGTCTGATGATTCGCAGATGCATTGAAACAGGTACAAGGCAGTTTGGCATGTGCCTTGGAGATCCTGTCAAAGGGTAAGTGGGGAGCTGTGTGAGTAAAGGGAGGCTGGGCAGCGAGGCATCTGGGCTAACTTTGGGGTGCTTCCAGGAGATGGGGAGGCCCGGCTCCTGAGGTTTAGCCAGCTTCCGACCACGAGCACTCGTAGAGACCGGGGGTGTCTCTGGCCCCTGATTTACCACGCGATAGGCTGCCCATTTGAAGGAACCCCAGGATGAATCTTGTGTTAAACGAGCGGCATATACCGTGAAACTTGTTTTGCTGTGGGACGGTGGGGCCTGGACCTGCGCTGCCTGGGTTCATACTCTGGCTCCAACCTTGGGGCAAGTTTGCCTTCGGGCAAATCACGTAACCTTTCTGCGACTCCAGCTTCCTCAACTGTAAAGTGGGCCCAGTGACGGTGGGGCTGCTGGGAAGATTGGGGAGTCCGTGCACGGAACACACTGGGCACGGTACCCGATGCCACGCGGTATGTGCTCAAGAAGCGGGAGCGGTCACACGATTACATTAAGCCTTTGCTTTGCCCAGGCGCTGTGTGTTGTGTGGTCGCAGCCGCAGACCCGGGACAGGCAAGTAGGCAGGAGTCCAAGGAGGTGCGACCCAGGGTTACAGGAACAGCTGGGGGGTTAGGCCGCAGAGGCAGCGCCTCCAGCCCTTCTTTTCTTGCTCATTCCCAACAAACAGGTTTGCGGAATATGGCTGCATCCTGGAGATCAGAAACGTTCAGTTCTTTGCTGACGGCCGCTCGGTGGTGGACAGCGTGGGCAGGAGGCGCTTCAGGGTCCTCCATCAGGGCCAGCGAGATGGTTACAATATAGCGGACATTGAATACATCGAAGACCAAAAGGTGAGGGTGGCCCGTGGCCCGAGAGTCCCAGAGCCAGCCTGTCCCTATAGCTCGGCGGGCAAAGAGGTTCACCAGAGAATTTCTCAGCACTGTTGGGGGCCTTGGGATTTCTTGCCAAATGGCCGTGCATCGAATGCGGCCAGGTTGCTGTTTGATTGTAGAATGACAGCAGGGCCACCCCGGGGACTGGCCTTCCCTGCTCAGTTGCTGAGCTGTATTCGTGCGTAAGAAATGCCGAGCCAGACCAACAACCTGCGGCCCGTTCAGCCTAGAAGTTAGGCCTCTGCCCGAGATACCAAGGCATAGATCCGGGCGCGATATCTACACCAACTTATTTCACTTATCACTGCCTTTATATTTTCAAACGTTTTATTTTGAGGTAATCGTAGATTCGCATGTACATCTGTATTTTTATTTTTTATTTTTATATTTAAAAATTTTTTTTAAGTTGATTTACTTTTGAGAGAGACAGACACAGAGTATGAGTTGGGGGGAGGGCAGAGAGAGACGGAGACACAGAATCTGAAGCAGACTCCAGGCTCTGAGCTGGCAGCACAGGGCCCAACGCAGGGCTCAAACCCACAAACCAGGAGATCATGACCTGAGCCAAAGTCAGACGCTTAACTGACGGAGCCACTCAAGGATTTTTAAAAAAATTTTTTTATGTTTTTATTTGTTTTTGAGAGAGAGAGAGAGCATGAGTGGGCGAGGAACAGAGAGGGTAGGGGGAGACACAGAATCTGAAGCAGGCTCCAGGCTCTGAGCTGTCAGCACAGAGCCCGACGTGGGGCCCAAACCCACGATCTGTCAGAGCGTGACCTGAGCTGAAGTCAGACGCTCAACCGACTGAGCCGCCCAGGCACCCCAGTATCTGTATGTTTAAATGCACAACCTGGCTAAGGGTTCTTCCCCACAACACATCATCCCATAAAGCGGAAAGATGACATGTCCATTTCATCCTTGGTTTTCTGGACTAGTAGGTAGAACAAGAGGTAAATAATCCCGTGCTCATTTATATTTATGTTCACTATACAGTATAAGATGAGTAAATGTTCGATCAACGCATGAAGGTATTGGACTTGGAAAATAGAGTTACACAGTGAGAAACAGACACACTTGGGTCCCTCTTCCCAGCCAACGATGGGAAAGCAGATATAAGACATGAAAAGGAGAGAGGCGCAGACTAGCCTAAGCTAGTTTAATGGCATGCCTCTACTCAGGCCAGTTGGCATCCGGTTTTCAGTCTATCTCGCCATTTCAGCGGATTCACCCAGCAGAACCTTTCTTCTTCCTCTGCACTCAGCAGTAGTCACACACGGCCCTGCCTCTGGCTGAGGAGCCTTTCAAACCCCGCACAGGAGAGAGCCGGGTGGGCGAACCTTCCCAGGGAGGCGGGCTGGGTGCCTAGACAGAGTCTGGTGTCCGCAGAAGCTTTGGGAGTGGTGGAGAAGGGACAGAGTGATTCATGTCCACCTTGACACTTTCAGGTTCAAGGAGAGGATTGTGCTGAGCTCATGGGATTACATAACTGTGTCTATGAGCAGGCATCATCATGGTTTCATTCGCTCAAAACGTCTCTGAAAAATCGGATACTCAATCACTTTGGTCCAATGCCAGAGAAAGACGCTGATCCTCAGGTACATAAAAAAGTCTCTTTGTAAGGGGCTGCCCCCTTCCCCCTACCCCCCCCCCCCCGCAGATGACAGAGCCCAGGGTTTGGGATTAGGCGGGTACACAGTTGCCATTCAGCAGATCAAGTGCCGAAAGGAAGATAGATCCGACTTGGTACCGTGTGCCTGGGCAGTGGGCATCTGGGATGAGACTCAAAGGATCCGAAGTCCGAATTGGACTAATAAAGTAAAGCAGGAGGAACTTGGATCCAAGACAGGTTTTGAGAGAGACTCAGGTGAGAGACTGGGAACATAATACACACCGCCAACAGAAGACCCTTGAGTGGGAGTCCAGATGCACACCATGGTAACGGTTGAGGTGACAAGATTCACACAAAGGCCACGCTGAAGAACAGGGTGTTTTGGGAGCTGAGACTAAAGGCTTCCATTTCTGGGGGGGGGAGCTTCATAACCTTCACCCCCATTGCTGCGGGAGCTCGGAGACCGCACCAGCTACCTCACAGGATTCCAACTGCCAGACCCCACAGAACCTTCTCATATCGGCTCCCTCCTTGCTTCGCGCTACAGATCTAGACCCTGGTCATTGTCCTCGGCAGAGGTGAGCAGGTCCTCAGCAAACAGGCCCAGGTTTTAAATTTGCCCTTTGCTGAGGGCAAATTTACAGCAGAAAGTGGTTCATTAGGTGCTACTGGACCAAGTCTGCTTCCTGGGGGGCAGGTCCACTTGAGAGCTCAAGCTGTTGATGAGAAGCTCTTCAGGAAAGTGGCGGTAGTTGAGTTTCAGCGAACTTTCCTTGCCCGATAATTCCGACAACGCTCTCTCTCTAGGACGTGGCCGGAGACAACTTAGTCGGGTATTTGCCCACCGCCGCCTTTCCCGCTTTCCGAGCTGGCTCCCCTAGTGACTTCCTTGGTCCTTTAACTCGCACTCATCCCTGATCTGTCACAGTAGTAAGATAGAGGACATGAGTTCCAGTTTCCCTGCCCACAGACTGGTCCTTACCGCTCTAGCTGTGTGGCCTGGGGTAAGACTCGTCCCCTTTCTCAACTGTTCTCCCGGCTCTGAAATGGGGGAGGTGGATGAAGAGGCCTCTAATGACGCCCCCCTTTCTCTCGCATCCATGGCTGCGGAGCACTGGCTGTTCCCCAATGGGCTGAAATGTCTCGCTTTCTTCAGACCACAGAGGTGGCTCCTTTGCCCCCCTGCAAAGGCCAGTCCGTGCTTCCCAGGGGCTCCGGGCCACTGTGACTGAGGACTGCACCAGAGCTCTGAGCAGGCTCATGATCGGGCTTAATGTTCCCCTTCACCCTCTGGAAAGCCTTCTCCCCCAGTCAGGCAGGAGGTAGCGACCAGCAGTGATACAGCATCTTTCATAAGGGAAAACACAGATGCCACAGGAGTGATTCATAGGGGCTCGATGACACAGACAGTTGAAATCTTGGTTCATTTCCTTTCTTATTAGAACTGTTACCCAGCGGCAAAAAAAAAAAAAAAAAAAAAAAAAAAAAAATTACCCAGTTTGATCCAGTCAGTGCCACAGCCCCAGTGGTGTCATTAATAAGAATGGTCTAAGCCTCAGAAGGAGGCTTCTCAGAAGCAGCCACAAGGATTAACGTCAGCTTCAGTATCTTTGTTCACGGCCCTGGGAAAGAAAGCTTAGACTATGTCAGTTTCATATTTGGAACGGATAGTAGGGGGGAGACTTGTTCCCGATCACATCGAGGGACCAAAAAGAATTCAAAGGAAGCACAGGGAAGCCAGGAAGGCGGCAAGGTTTGGGAAGAACCAGGTGGACCCGTTTGGAGGCAGATAACCCCATGTGTAGGTGGTCTGGCCAGACTGTGGCTCTCCGCAGTCCTGAACCAACCAACCTTCTGAAAGTCACGAGCAGAGGGATCGTTTCGGGCTTCATAGCAAATAAGCCCTGGCGTCTGAAAACGTGTGCCTGGGAAGCTGTCGACAGAATTTCGGTGAAGGATTCACGTGGGCAGGGAAAGCCCTTTATTAGAAAGAAACCCGGGGATGGACTACATTTCTAACGCGAATGTGTTTTAAAACTGGAAGGTCCCCAAGCGGGACTGCTGTGCTTTGGGGCTGCGGACCACAGGCTTTGGTTTCAGAGGACAAGCTAGCTGTGGCCTTGTACAGTGACATGGCATACGTGGGCTAGATTGCTGGCAGCCAGAAGCAGGGCAATAAACGGAGTTAAGAGACATGCCAAGCCCAAGGGATCATGGGACTCGAAGACCCATAGGCTGTTTGCATCGGTCCAAAGAGCCTGAACAGAATCTTGCAAGTGGGCCAGACTGAGCAGTGGATATTCTAGCCCGCAGACCCCCACTGGCTGGGAAGTAGAGCGGATCTGTTAGGACGTCGATCTGTCTGCTTTAATGACTATTAAACATAACTGTAGCGTGAAGCAGGCAGAGGGCTAGGGCAGCTCCGGTCTCCGGAGATCATTCAGCAACCCGGTCTCCTTCATCACAAAGCGCTACCCTCCTTAGGATGTTGCCCCTGTCTTCTTGATAGAAGGCTGGTCGTGACCGCGCTCACACGCTAGCTGGGGGGAAGAGTGAGAGAGTAAGGGGGGAGGCACAAGCCCGTTTCCCAGAGCATGGCCCAGAAGTTCCACACGTCACTTGCCTCGACACGTCATCAGCCGGAACTCTGTCTCGTGGCTGCCCCTCGCTGCAGGGCAGTCTCTGTTTTCTGGGTGGCTGCGTGCCTGGCTCTGATAAGGGGGGCAGCTGATGTGGGGTGCTTAGCCATCTGCCTGACCCAGACGCAGCTCCCCTGGGAATGTTTACCGCGCACCTTGGGGAAACCTGCGGGCCCATCTCATTTCTGGGGGCGTAGGGTGCACTCACCATGTTTCTCTGTTGCAGACTAGCCCGGATGGTCCGGCCTGGTGCTGGTGGACGCTAGCGGTCCTTCCCCTGGAAAGCCGAGCTCAGCTCCCGTTCCTAGCGATGAGGTCCTTAAAGGATAGACTGAATGGGATCCGGCGAGTCCTGGCCTTTATAGCCCGGAACCAAAACTAGCGAGAGTGCATTGCTGAGGAGGAGCCCCCCACCCCCACCCCGCTCCCTACCGGCCTGGGGGCGCCCTCTTGTAAATATCTCTAACTGCAATAACATCTTAACAGAAGGAAGCATCAAACAGGCCTTGCCCTGCTGGTGGCCGCGCAGAGCAATCGGGCAGAGAGACCAGAAGCACGGGGCCTGTTTGAAACTTCCTCGCTGAAGATGCTTCTCGACATGCTGCACAACTACATGCTCAGCAGAGGTGTTTAAGAGCCCAGAAAAAAAAAAATTCATTTGATTTTTGACATCCAGTTTTCTGAACGTTTAAAATGGTTTTGCTTTCATTTTCTTTCTCGCACAGAAACACGCGTAGTCAAAATGTGAAGCGCACGTTCTGATAACGTCGCTGCGCGTCATTTCACGGACTTGAGTTCTCATTCCACACGGTTCAGGTTTTATATGGCATCGTGTAAAAGAATGTTCGTCCTTCTTTCCGTTTTCGTAATTTATTTTTTGGCACTACTGTATCTTTTTTTTTTTTCCTACCTGTCCGTTTGTAACTGTTTTAAGTGTGCAATGACTGAAAAGCCAGTTGCTTTATTTATTAACGCAGTTTGCCATCCACCCAGGGGGGAAGTAGCCATACTAGAAATGGGCCGGTTTTGCTTTAACCGTGTTCTGCTGTGTTTGATCCCAGTTCGCGAACCATTTCTGTGTCTGTCCCACTGGATGCATGAAGGAAGTTCAGAATCATGCTGAGGTCATCCATCTTCATGGGTTCCTTGTTGCTCGCGGCATGAATCCAACAGTATAAAATACCTAAGTGATTTGTCAGACGCTATGGAATAAGCCAGGGTAAAGTAAAAGAACCCATTTCCTGGGTGTTACACAGAGCAGGGCTGAAGGAGCGATTTCTCCCGAATGAAGAGATGACTCAGAGGGGTGTCTTTTGTTAGTGATATCTGGTAGGCATTTATCTTCAACAGTGCAATCAGAAGCGGGCCTCCCTTGTCCCCGGTGTTAGTTAGGAATGGCATTTTTGGGCAGGGTGTTATTCAACCCTTCAGAGGGATTGGTTTCTGGCTTGGCACCTTGCAGCCCTGCCGAATAGCCTCAGCACCCGACTTCTCAGGGTTCTGAAGGTCACGACCTGGCTAGCAGGTATGAAAACACATGCCGAAGGGCTGCTTGTTTCTGAATGTGTAAAGAAGCCAGTAGAAAAAGTAGAACCCTTAAATCTTTTTAGAGGAAACAGACCGGGAATCCATGATTTTATCTAAACACTGCCTCCCCCCCTAGCCACTGTGGGCCAAAGATTCCAAGGTAGGAGAGGAAAGGGGTAAGAAGGTAAGAGGGAGCCCTTGTTCAGCTTGCTCAGTGCTAGTGGGATTCCTTTAGTGCCAGGAGGACCTGACAGAGACTGTGGGGGAAGAGGGTCACAATGCCAGAGCGAGATCGGGGCAGGTCAGAAGCGAATCCTGCCGTGTGTATCACCGTGCACGTGATCCCCCTACGTGATCCTGGACGGACGCAGTGCAACCCATCTGCTCCTTCGAGGAGAGGGGAGTGCCTCAAGTAACCGACCCGACTTCTTCCCACTACCCGCAGCCAGAAACAGGAGAGAGAACAAGGCGATCCAGGCAACAGGAAAGAGATTCACGTAAGCAGAAACCAAACGGTCCTTTCTGAACTTGCTAAACGGAGGCTGTACTGTCAGAGCTTTATGTCACCAGGTTTGATGTTCGCGGCCAGACTGGGCCAGCTCAGAATGCAAGTAGAGGCACGGTTCTGGCCCAGGCAAGCGCTGCGGGGCTCGGGGAGCCGAGAATGATGGGCTCCACTCCCAGCCAGCCAGGAGGCATAGCACGGTCCTAGTGAAATAAGTGTCCCGCCGTCTAGTGTAAATGCAGCAAAGAAAAGGTCATCAACACCTCCACATGGTAGATAATTTCCCTTGTGATTTAACTTTTTCTGGGCCCCCGTTTTCCTCATCTAGCAAACGGTAGTGACTGATGCCCTTTGTAGGGGTGTTACGAGCATTATATGAGGTAACCTACGTAAATCGCTTAGCACAGTGCCTAGCACCTAGGAGGGATCCAAAAAATGATAGCTGTGATTAGATTATTTGTAGTTCCAGAACATCCTCAGGGGCCCACGTTTGCATAAAACACTGCTTTTACGTGCGGTACCCAAATCTGCCCCCTTTAATCTTGGAGGGATTCACACCACTGATTTTCGGACCACAACTTGATGCTTTACCGTTAATCCCTTTTGGAGCCAAGTCTGTTTGGGAAAACGAAAAGGCTAGAGAAGAGAGGAGGGTCAGAGACGGGAGCCTTCTGAGCCAGCAGGTTTGCCCTGTTCCAGTATGACTAAAAAGTAGTGCTGTTTGGAGGTCTGGAATTCCCGATCTGATGGAAGCCTTAAGTTCTAGCTCCATTAGAATGACCAACTCCTCACTCCTTGCTCCCCAAAAAGTGTTAAAAATCTTGGCCATGCCAGGGTGAACGGTTTTCATGGTCCGGCTTCTGGGCTTGGTCCATGGGATTTCTTTATGCTGCCCCAGCAAATTTATTTTGGACCTGCTATGTGCCAGGTACTGAGCCAGGCGATTTCACATATGTGAACTCATGAAATCAGTCATTCTCACGCCAGCTCTGTGAGTTCAGGCATCACCCCAGCATCGCAGGTGAGGAGGCCGAGGCTCTGCGATGTTAAAGACTTTGCCCAGATTACACAGTTACCCAGTTCATAGTACAGCCAGGCTTGATGCCAAACCCCTTACTTTTGCATATTTTTAACATTTTAAACAGTTTGCATTACACATAATTTTATTAGATAGACAGCACAACTGAGCCACAAAAGCACCCCAGGGGCCCACAGTTCAGATGGAAGTTGCAGGTTCAATAAAATTCCCTTACCTCACACATCTCTACTTAATCTAGCTAGGAAGGGAAGTTTGGTTTTTTTTTTTTTTAATAAAGTTCCACATTCTAGAATGTTCCCTGTTGGTAAGTGAGCACCAAACTCCAGCAAATGTAGTTGTTGGCTGGACAGAGTTGCACTGCGCTCTCAATAGCCTAAATACGCATTTGGGTTATTTTATTGCAGGCTCTGGCTTCAGCAGTGACGGGAGGCACGATGGCAAGGCTGAGCCTTGGCTTTCTTTGGGGCGTACTTGAATGGGGCAGTCAGTTGAATGCGACCGTTTTCACCACTTAAACATTGATTTTGCTGCAAAACTTGGGTTGGAAGAGAATACAGAGAAAAGGCATAAAGCTAAATCTAGGCCAGAAGTACAAGACTTCCCCCTTGGTAGATCGTGCCATTTATTTGGTTAATTTTCCTATCATGACCTAGATTTTTTTCTCTGTGTATGTATATGTGTATATATGTATATATATATGTGTGTGTGTGTATAGATATATAGATATATATCTACATAGATATATATTAGGTACCAGGCAGATACTATGCCTTTCTGCTTTGTACTGTACTACTGCTGCTAGCTAATAACCAGCAAAATGTAGAAAATGACAAATGATAAAAACTAATTTTCTGTAGACAACCTGGAGAAAAGAGTGTTTGCCCCTGGCCTCATGGGGCAGAGAACTGACCATTTCAAGACCTTGCCTTTTCTGAAAGCTGACTGCTTCTAGCCCCGTGGGGCCAGACGAATCGCTGCGCATGTGGCCCTTCCCGCTCTGCCTGTGGGGCCGGCCTGGGCTCAGATAATCTCCTGTGACTGGCCGTTAGAGTGGTGGAGCTCCTGAGGCCGGTTCACAGCACCCGGAGATCTTGGACTCTCAACAGCCCGCGTGCTGTTGATGGACCAGAATCCATCATTGGGGATGGGGACAGCATGCCCCCTGCCAACTCCGGTTCCAAGATGGGAGTTTTATTTGGGGACTTGTTCCTTGTGTTCCCAACGTGTTGACTTTGCATCCATTTCCGTTTATCGAGGCGGAATCGTAGCAGAGGGGTAGGATAAGGATGCAAATGGAAAGCAGCCCCCAGAATGGAAAAGAAGAGATCTTTCAGCCCATCTGGGGCTTGAGGAAGGAGGTTGATTTATGATTGAAGGCAGTCCTGAAAGGCAGCCAGCCGCACAGCCTACAGGCTACAACTTGTGGCCCTTCCTTTGTGCAGAGAGAAAGAAGGAAATGGAGTCATGTAAAATGTACACATTCAGTTCCTCTTAGAACGATAGCTCCCACTGTTCAACTGTGTAATAATCTGGGTGGTGCACATCCAGAGGTGAAATGAAGACGTTTTCATTACAAATAGGTGTTGTCCAATGCGCTAAGTTCACCTTGAGAGAGAAGTGCCTGTAATCTCTGTCCCTGGTGTCATTTTAAAGCTTTTGCTTCATGACCCTGTAGCCGTTTAAAAATGTGTCGCAGCAAATGTGATTAATGGAAGTTTACAAAGCCACACTGTAGCTTATGCGTCATGTTAAAAGTTGCCTAGTGTTTCGCTAATGTGAAAGCAACAACAATACACAACCACAAAATAAAAGGAGAGCAAATAGGTCAATGTGGCATCATAGGCTTATCTGAGCTAAACTAGTTCCGTCATCTTACGCAGCCCTCAGTAATGCCAGGATTAAAATATCAAGCAAGCCGTTCAAACAGTGGCAAACGTGTCTGTGTGTTTGTTTTTCCAGTTGTTTGTCGAGCAGCCATTTTACATTGTAACAAACTGAAAGGGGAATTAAGAGAATGCTTTCCCACCCCCCCCCCATATTGCTGTTCAACTACCTCTATATGCTTGGTTTCTCTTTAGGGTTTTCGTTCCCCCAAATCTGTACAAAAACAAAGTGTCAGCTCCTCTGTGTTCTCATAACAATGTGATATAGACAGTCCATGTGAAAGCTGTTTTTCATTAAGAATGCTTCCCCATTGTTTCACTTTGTATCTAACAAAATTCTACCCATAACCTTAGGGCAAGAACTACCCAAAGAGGTGTCATTTTTTGGAAGCTGAGTAGAAAGGAAAGCTATCGGACCATTTACTTTGTTCTTGTTGCTGTTGCCTGTAACACACGTGACCAGAAGGTCCCTCCAGGAGATAGCCTTGCACTTAGACGGCAAGCTCGTATGTACTTGACAGTGAGGCTGGTGTGAGTTAAGTAATGTGACTGATATGTTCCGAAAAACCTGGCCATATTGTTTTAAAAGATGCACCAGAAAATCTCGTTACTTAAAGAATTTCGTTGAAGCACCTTGCCAATAATCCACCCCTAGTTTATCTGTTAAGTCCACTCGTATATTGAGTTTGCTTAAAGCGGAACGCACTACCTACTGTGTTTTCGTTGGCATTATAAAACATTTGTGAAAGTGAGTGGTGTGTTTTTATTTCAGTTAAACTGCGTCTCAACGACAGGCTGTAGCTAAGGCCCAAAGCGTGACCCTTTTGACAGGAGAACTGGTCAGATTGACTGGGGCCGGGAGCAGGGCTGACTGAGCGCCGTCCGGTAAGAGAGTCCGCAATGTCTCGTCTTCGCGGTACCCATTTTAGTCTCCTGCCGTCAGTGACCTTACACAAGCTCCGGCTCACCCCTGGGGGAAGAAAGCCCGAGTGGAGAGGGAGAATAAAACAAACTGATAGCAGACTCCACGTGGGCCTGACCTTGTGGAACGGGGTCCGTTGGGTCACTGAGAAACAGGAGGACCCCAGACCAAGCAGGTCCCGGAGGAAATGCTTGGCCCCGTCCGGACCTCTGTGCCCAGCCCGCCACTCTGGTGGTCAGGAGACAAGGCACGCCTCTGCCAGGGGCACGGTCTGCCCTCCTGCCCCGTAGGCCTGCGTGACTCCGACCTGCACTGGGTCATCCGAGAAGGTCTTGTTCGCCCTCATCCCACAGGCCTTGCGCAAATCAAAGCTAACGCTGGCGGCTTCTCTCTGGGACCCATCCTGGCCCGGCTCCTGTGAGTCCTCTCGGGCCGAAGAGGGCTCCCTGGAAGGAACTGCCAGTCTCCAAGTGAGGTCAGAACAAGAGACGCAAAGAACAAAAGGCCTAGCCCCACGGGCTGCCAGATATCCAGCCCCGGAAAGGCGTGCCCTGGTCAAGGCAGGAGACGGCAGGCGCTGAGGAGCCCTGCCTTGGGGGCTCTGAGTCCCCTCCTCCCCTTTCCCGTTTTCTGTTGCCGACTTGGCCACCTTGACCTCGCCTTGAGTTGAGTGGCCATCCACGCTTACACACACATATTAGCAAGCGTCACCATTGCGTTAGAGAGCCCTGAGGAGCCTGCCTTCCGCTCGCTTGAAGCACTGCCCCCAAAGCCTCCCGCCTGTAAGTCAATGTCAATAATTTCTGCAACAAAATGAAGTCCTGAAATAGTCTGCTCAGCCCAAGTCCAGCGTTGCGCTAACAATCTCGCATCTCTCGCATTTTCGAGGGGCCGTTATGGGAATGTGCAGCAGAGTCGCGGGGACAGGGAGGGACCACTGCCCCTTGGCCCATTGGGATGCCTGCTATCACTCTAGGCATACACCGACATTTTCAGGAGCCCATGCTCCTCCTCCAGGCCCCAATGAGCTCTTGGATGAGAGGCCCAGCGGTTGCGGTTGGGGGGACATCGCGCCCACTAATGGCACCAAGCCCTTCTGTTTAGGCCGCCGGTAGGGAGGAGTTCCCTTGGAAATGGCCAATCGTGGCGACTGAAGTTGCTGTCTTTTCACCTCCCTCTGCGCAGAGATCCACGCGCCCTCTTAAAGTGGCTGGATTTGGCCTTCCGTCCCGGTTGGGGATGCTGTGTTTGTCCAAACCAAACCCATAGTCCTGTGCTCAGGAGATACGGGCCCTGTTCTTCCACCCTGAGGCATCCAAAAGCCAATGTCCGTTGACAGGGCTCTTTTCTAGGTTTTTAAAAACATACTTAGCTTCCCGTTCTATCTTCACTATAATCTACAAAGCAGATCCCTGTTCCCACGTTTTAGGTGACTAATTGCAGCACGGGGTGGTTATGTGCTTGCCTTTGGTCACATGGATTAAACCTTGAGCGGTCTGCTTCCAGAACCCATGCCCTTAACTGCTACTATGAGTCACCGGTCACACGGTGGCACGGACCCAGGAGAGCAACTCGGCTCGTGGATACCCAGTGGGGAACTTCCAATAGAAATGACAGCGAAGCAATAGCCGTAGTAGCTCCCGTTTATTGAATGTGAGCTGTGCGCCGGCCACTGTGGTGAGCGCGTTCTTATTTAGTCCCGAGGCGGGTACTATTGTTACCCGCCCTCCCCTGGATTGCGCCCCGTGGGGTCAGACAGCCTGGATTCCAAGCCCAGCCTCTCCTTCCTAGCCTCGTGGCCTTCCACAAGTGGGTTTCTCTTTCTGCACCACGAGGAGGAGAGTGGCAGGCCCGAACTCCTCTGTTCTAGTGTATTCTTTCTAATTCTCATCCCCCCAAGACTTGCCCCTTTTCTGTCTTGGGAGCCCCCCTCCGTGCAGGCCTGTGTCCCCAGTGATGACAAACTCAGGAGTGCACCGGTTATCTACACGGCTTGCCCAGCTACCTCTTCCCCCTACCCTACCCGCTCCCGCGGCTGCTAGAACATTCTGCCACCAAAGTATAAACATAGATTTGGAGACTCAAAAGGTAAAATGGATTAAGAAGCTTCAAATGCTGCAAGCCCCTAGTTCTAGGGTCATACATCTCCGAGCCGGCAGAGGCCTTAAGAAATCTAGCTCCATTTCCCCGCATTGGCCAGTATTGCTGTCCGTGAGGTAGTGGCCAAAATAGAGCTTCGTATTTGATGCACACTCTAAACACTAGGGACAGCTCCCAGCTGCCCCCCCCACCCCACCCCATGGATGTTCTGATGGGGGGGGCTTGGACATGGAGCTTTCAGAAGAACAAAGACTTGTTTTTTATTTATTTGGAAAGAGCGCTCAAGCAGGGGGGAGGGGCAGATGGAGAGAGAGAATCTTAAGCAGGCTCCACGCTCAGCATGGAGCCCGACATGGGGTTCGATCCCACGACCCTGGGATTGTGACCTGAGCTGGAATGAAGAGTTGGATGCTCAACTGACTGAGCCACCCAGGCGCCCCCAAAGAATTTTTTTAAAGCAGCTACATTCTATTCGGGAAGGCCCCTTTGGGGATTATTCTCTCTCTGGTTTCCCCTGCCCCCACCGCCCCAGTGCCTCGCCTCTTCTCTTCAGACTGCCTCTCCATTCAAAGAGCTTTCCTCTCCCACAACCTGCTGCTTGGGAGAAACTTCCGCCCCGCCCACTGAAGTTTGGGTTCAGTGGGTCTGAGTCAGGCTGCCTTAGGCTGGGCAAGGCGAGTCCTTGAGAAGCGTGTCTGCCGGTTCAGACACTCCTCCACTCCCGGTCATTTAGACGACGATCGCGGAAGGAGTCGAGGTCCATGTCCCAGCCATGAATGAAATTGGATTCGGGAATCAAATGTTGGTAAAGTGCAGCGGTTGAGAACACAGACTCTAGAGTCAAACTATTTAGGTTAGAATCCTGCCCCCCCCCCCCCCCCCCCCCCCCCCGCCACTTACTATATATGTGGTCTAGCAGGTGACTAATGATTTCCTCTCCTCAGGTTCCTTTGTCCAAATATGGCCTTCTTGGGGCAGGCCACCAAAAACATTGTCAGTCTTGCTTTTCCAAGGACAGGTCATCAAAAGGTTTCCTATAGGGCATCTGGGGGGCTCTGTTTGGCTGAGCGTCTGACTCCTGATTTCACCTCAGGTCATGATCCCAGGGTTGTGGGTTCGAGCCCTGGGATGAGCTCAGAGCTGGGCGTGGAGCCTGTTTGAGATTCTCTCTCTCTCTCTCTCTCTCTCTCTCTCTCTCTCCCTCCCCCACACCGTCTTCCCCTCCCCACCCCACCCCCACCTCTCACTTAAAAAAAAAGAGGTTTCCTATATCCCCACGCCCCTCATAGACATCTGCTATCTTATTTAATAGGAAGACCAGACGCAACAGATTTCAGGGTTGGTTCGCAAGTCCGATGCTCTCACCAGGGCCTGGTCCGTCTCCATCTTTCTTCAATGTTCTTAAAGCCCTTGAATGAAACAACCTCACCAAGAAGGTTCTCGAACCAGTCCTTCTTGCCAGAGAACAGACGCCCAAAGGGGAGGGGCTTGGCGGGCCATCAGCAATACAGGGCTACAAGTCCACAGACGAAGGAGTTTTGATGGTGGAAGAAGGTGCTTTGAATCTTCCTTGGAGCAGGTCCAGACATCTTACTGGTCCCCTCATCGATTAGTGAGTTAAACAAAAATCATTAACACATGTTGAGAAAATAAATAAATGGAGTAGGGGAAAGAGTCTTCCAGTGCTCGCGTCTGCCTCAAAGTTCAGACGTTTCTACCTATAGGAACTTCCAGGAAAACAGAGGCTCGGCTACCGTGGAGGTTCCCAGTTCAGGCCCCTACACAGGCTGTAAGCCCTCCAATTCATTCACTTACTAATGGTGCAAATGTTTACAGGGCACAGATTCTATGCCGGGCGTGGGGCTGCAGAGAGGAGTATGACACTCTCCGTGCCCTCGAGAAGCTCACAACCTGGGGAGGAAAACATAGAGGAAAGGGCCTAATCTTGCTCGGGTAGGGGTTCAGGGAAGGCTTCCTGGAGGAGGTGTGCCGGAGCTGGCTCATGAAGGATAAGAAGTTTTCCAGATGAAAGAATGGAAAGGGCGTGGAGGCCATTCTGGGCAGAAGAAACGGGGGACATATCTGGTGGCCTGTAGAGAAAGTACTGGCCAGTCATAGGGGAAGTCCGCTCAGAACACGGGGCTGAAGACTTCACAGGGAAACAAGGCCCACTTTCTCACACTTTTGTTTTGTCCTTATGGAAACCACCAGCTGGTCTCTGGGGAGGCCTGGGCAGCAGGCTTCTGGGCGAACGGGAGCCTGGCTTGCTGACCAAGTCAGAACTCACCATGTAACCACCACGGGAGACCTCCGGGCCCAGCCTGACTCCCGGTGCCCAGCCCAGCAGCCCCCTCGGGGTTTGGATGGGAGGAAGGGAAAGAGGGATTGGTGGTAATGAGAGCCGACTTTTAGGATTTCAGAAATTTTACAAGCCAGTTGTTAAACACAGCCTTTATTTGAAGAGTAAGTTATGTAAACTTACAACGAAATAAGTTATGTTAGACGCAAAGCAGTAAATACCCAAAGCGTACCACGTGCTATCATACTACTTTTTACTCTTACTCATGCTCTCAAAGTTACTTAGCCCCTCCTGCATCCGTAGGGTCGAAACGCCGTATGACGGCATGCCACTGAGCACCCTTCCCAAGTCCTCGGTCAGTGAGGTCACGTCGATAGCAGCTATCAGCCAGGGCGGGAGTAGTCACACCACACTAGAAAATTGCAGCACCC